AAAAGGCCAAAACAGTCAAGAACAGCATCCACCTTTGGCCATCCAGCTGCCAATGGGTGTATGGAAAATCACTGCCAATAGCACAGGATGAAGGGATTTCCCCAGAAAGGCAGGTGAAATCACCTAAAACTGTACAGCTTAAAACAGAGGAGACTGAAAAACAGAGGATATTAACTCATGAAGTAATAAGCAGAGCGGAAAACTCAGAAGCCATCTGAACGTCATTCCTGCTATAAGCTACACAGGAAGGTGCCTTGTGGAATCATCAGATGAGAGGTTTTAAATTAAGTGAGAGGACCTAGTTTTTAGAATAATGCATAATTTAACAGAACTCATGGCTATAAAAATGTAGAAGGGAGCCTACAACAAAGACGACAAGGTGTTTTTTGCAAGGCCATGCATTGACAGGACAAGGAAGACATTCTTCCCCATGAGGGTGGTGAGGCCCTGGCACAGGCTGCCCAGAGAAGCTGTGGCTGCCCCATCCCTGGAAGTGTTCAAGGCCAGGCTGGATGGGGCCCTGAGCAACCTGGTCTAGTGTAAGGTGTCTCTGCCCAGAGCAGGGAGGTTAGAACTGGATGGATCTTTAAGGTTCCTCCCAACCCAAATCATTTTAGGATTCCAGGAATCTACGAAACACAAATATATCTAAAATATGACCAAAATAATGGGAAAACTACCAACAACACTTTTCTGCTCTACAGTAAACACAAGGACTATCAAAACACAAGCAAGCTGGCACCTGATGGGTTATTGGAGGCAAATGTGACCAATCCATTTGAATGTATCTGTCACGGAGCTCTGCTTGCTGTAAATTGTGGCTGGCACAGCTGGTGACTGCATGTAATCATCATTTTTTAATTACATAAAACAATGCTTTGGAAAAAAACCACAACAAATTAGAAACACAAGCCTAAAATCAGAGCCCAAACGTTTAGAGGTGAAGCCATGTGAAGCTGACATGGGGGATTTCCAGCTGGTGCCGTTTAGGGGGCTGTTGGTGCCTGTGCTTTTCTTGCTGCTGTTACACAGGCTAAAGAATGCAGGAACCACCCTTACCAGACCACTGGTTACAACAGCAACCAAACAAATCACCATGCAAGCAACCAGAGGTAAAAATTAACTGGGGGAGAAACAGAAATCCTCACATAAGGTCTCTTTATCCTTCTGCTCTTCCCATTACAGACTCGTTTTCTGGGACTGCCTTCATTCATCAGACGCTGGGCATCAGCGCAGCACCACCCAACACCATACCTGCTCCCTTCCTCCCACTGGGAGAGGTGCTGGTGAAATCCAGAGCAGCAGTCGTGACTTTCCTGGGGTTGGGAATGTGCAAGGCACCACCTCCTTCCTGCTCACACCCAGAAGCACTGGGTCCAGGAATAACCAAGCAGTGTCCTCTGGTTTCCACCACACTGTGTCCTTCACATCAGGTCTGAACCAAGGTCACTGTGCTCTCCAGAGGGAACAACATACACCAGTGTCCTGTCAGGGGCTACAGGGGAGTAACAGCCCAGAGCAGTTCCCACCTTTTCCCCATGAGATAAAATAGTGGCTATAAAATCCAGCTGCCAACAGCTGAAACCATTCTTTGACTATTTCAAGCTGACTTAATACAAATGATAATATTTTCATATAGCAGCGCTCTGTTTTCAGCAGAAGTGGGAATTAATCAGCACCCTGAACCTCGGTGTATGGGATTACGCAAAGCTGCTGTGTTATATTGTAATACAGTAAGTTTTACTGTAATTTAGCTAACTCTACAGAGAGATACCAGGATAATACAAGATTAAACTCCAGCTTGAGTTCTGAAAAACACTTCCTGTCTTCAATGCACTCTGTACAAAACTCTTGCAGCCAAATTCACCCAAACCGCCCAGGATGGCTGAAATCAAAGGCTGCAATTTCTCCCCAGCTTGGTCTAACCTGGAGTGTTCTGGATAGGCTTGGAAAATACTAAGAAAAATAAAACAAAACAAAACAAAACAACTAACACTTTGGCTGCTGAGAATTCCACCAGTATGTTACATTCCTGTTCTGGAGGGGGAAAAAAATACACTGAAACACACCAGAAACTTATCTCTGCTGTTACAAAAGGGCAGTATAAATTTACTAGAGGGTTGTTCAGTCAAATCCATTGAAACATAATCAGGTAGTTCTTCTACAGGTGGGGAATAAACTGTCTCCATTTTACCAGTGTTTTGTTCAGATCCAGCAGAAGAAAATCAGCAAGCAGGTGGGGTCAAAGGAGTACAGAGGCCTTATATCCAACCCTGGCTCCTGCAAATGCGTTCTTGTACAATCCTATCACCCACCCCGATGTTCATTTCTCATCCATGCAGTCGTGAATTTGTCTGGAGTGCAGAAGACCACATCAGGGAACATTCAAAAAGCAGAAGCTGATCTGTTTTAGCCAGGATCCAACACAAATCCTCAGGGAGCACCCTGCGTCCAGCTGATGATTCCATTCCCAACAACGCCACCAGTATCCAGCCATGTCAAACCACACAGCAATACAGATCCACCAGCTTCTTCTTACACACCACACCTCTAATGAAAAGATTGACTTTTAATAGGAGTCCAGAACTTGGCATCTTCTATCACAGCTGACATAGCAGCCTTTCTTCACAGGTCTGTCTGATACAAGAAAAATAACGAGGAGTAGAAGGAACAAAGGGCCTGTGAAATCTCGCAGCTTGGGGATTATTTTTAAAAGGTGTTTCTGATAACACTGTGCTGGCTTTAACATCTATTTTCAGGATCACAGGCCAGCAGTTTTTCTCCAGCAAGCAGGAAGATACCAGTCTGCAATATGACCACCCCTGACTTCCATGGATTTCTTTGTAGTGCCTGTCTACTCTTGCTTCTCCCAAAATATGCAGCCAAGTGTGCCAACCAGATTGTGGTTTCAGTGATTTTCTGTAGATCAGGCTGCCACAAGCCCAAGCAAAACCTTTCACAATGCCCCATAAAACAACAACAACAAAAAAAATTAATATCCTCTCTGTGGCAACATTCACACAACACTGGCAAACTCCCATACTTGTCTTGCAAGGCACCTTCATTCACAAATCCAAGCACAAATGGATTTGGGACGCATCTTTTCCACTGACCTAATTGTGGCAGGACGGCAGCAGCTCAGACAACGTGTTTTGTTGGAGTTTTTTTTCTCCCCCCTGTAGCTGTGTCACAGACTTATAACTGCAGTACGTCCTTAATGTAGCAGTGGGTAAACAAACACCACACAAAGCAGCTTGCACAAGAGGGACGTGGAGGGCTCGGAGACAGCTCCCTCACATGTTTTAGCAAGTGCTCTCAAAGAGAACATTCCAGGCAGTGTTACATTTCTGCCTAAGCTTCTTAGAGCATCAGTTTCCCTTTGAACACTTGATAATCCTAATTTGGGACTCACCAGAGGTAAACAGAATTTGCCTTTGCAAACAGGTACTAACCAAGTGACACAGTACCCCTCATTTCACAATTAAAAAGCAAATGTCAGCGCATTATCTTCTCAGTTACTATAAATAACAGTCTGGGGGGAGCGAAGAACTTTTCAAAGTAACTTATCTTCCACATTCCATGACCTCAAACAAGCTTCTGACATCCCTGCTTTGGCAACACAGATGATCCTCATGCAAATTCCATGCAAATCTTAATCACACTATCAGTAAAGAAACTAAGTCACAAAATCCAGCATCTTCTAAACCAGCAGTCTGAATATAACACAGAGCCTGTAGTGGCTTTATTCCATATCACCACTAACACAGGAATGAAAATGTCTGGTGTAACTGTCATAGGGTGACTCTCCTCTTTGCAAAAGCAAAACCAAAAAATAAATTGTTTTTAGAATCATAGAATGTCCCGAGTTGAAAGGGACCCACAAGGATCACAGCTTAAAATGGATCTGCTTAGATCCATTTCTCTCTGTAAACTGATCCTCCATTAGTGACAGCTTCTATTTAAGGAAAATTTAAAAAAAAAAAAAAAAGTAACCTAAAGGTGAATTAACTTCAAGATAAGAATGAATACCTCATACAAGGGAAAAAAGAAGGAATTCAGCATTTGGCTAGAATGAACATGAATACAAATCCAGGATTGTTTTAAATAACATTTAACCATGCTTTAAGACCGAAAATAACAATCATACCATGAGATAAGAAAGGATTTAAGTTTTCTTTTACACATACAACTCCATTTCATAATCTGCAAAGCAGCAGCAAGTCAGCTCTACTGTCACTTCTGTATGGATGACACTCAAAAACTCCCCAATCTTAAGAGCCATTTCCCTTATGGATTCTTATCAACAGGACAGTCCAGTATTTAAGAAACAACAGCGTGCATCACCATGCCATGTTATCCCACAGCTGGCAGATAACCCTTGGAGCAGACCAGGATTTGATAGAATCTACAGGACAGGCTCTCCAGCAGAAAGCTGGAGCTCCGTATCAGCTCAGCCAAGAATTGCAGTCTTCCTTCTGTCCTCGTGCACTTCCCCTGCCATGTGCCTCCTGCCGCCCTTCCCAGCTCGGACACAGTGGCTCGTGGTTTTCTTCCTTCACACAACCTTCTGATCTTAATCAAGTCATCTCTTCCTTCTCTTTTCCTCAGCTTCCTCACCTTCCTCCTTTCCTCCTGCCAATTTACTGCTTCCTCCAGGCTAAACAGAGAGTGCAGAACACCCACTGGAGTGCCTCTACCTGCTGTACAAACACTGCACAGCAGAGCTCAGTGCCCTGGCCAGGTAGGATGCTGTTCACTCCTGCACTGTGGATTCTCTGCTGTGGGACAGAGACGAAGCTACATGGGAGGAATGTGCTGCTGCATCACTCATCACTGTAGCAGGGGGTTGGCAGCACCAGGCAGAACTCACAGAAGACCGGTAGTAACCCTGCTACGCTGTCACAGGTTTCTTGTCATCTCCTGGAGGGATCAGGGGTCCCCAAGAAAAACTGGCAGCTTGCAATAAACACAGAAAGCCAAAAGCTACACTCAGCCAAAACCACACTGCCAGGTGAACTTTATTTATAAACATACAAACCCCTGAATTACTGTGCTGAAAAGCACAGGGACCACAGGCCCCAAAGACAGACCATCACCTCTTTGACGAATATTACGAGGACAACCGTTGAAAACATTATTGATGCTTCTCTCCCTCTCCTCTGAAGGGAGAACATAGCTGAATATGAACTTCCCATGGCAAAGTTCACATGATCTTGTATCTTCCAGCACGAGACGAGTTGCTGATTGCACTGAAGTTGTGCAGTGTCCAGAGCTGTTGGCCCAGCACAGCTTTATTGTCACAGTCCTCAGCTGACATGATTTAATGATTATCAGGAATACACACTGTCCTGCCAGGGAAGCTGACTATCTTCTCCAGATGGGAGGAGAAATACTTGACAAGGGACATGTCAAAAGTGGGGACTGGAAAAAAACAGATCCCATCTTCCCTCTAATGACACCCTAAAGCAAACAATCTCAATGTCCTATGCTAAAATTATATTCTTTTGCTTTTCTACTTCTCCTTCCAATTACCACCCAATACTGAATTCCTATCAGGGAGCCCTCAGATCTACTTCCCATTCAATCCTGAAACTGCCACTGTTCAGTGGAGTTGGACTGTCCCCCACCCTGCCACAGCAACTGACATTTTTTGAACTGAATCCATTTAGAAGCTGTAACCACCTCCGGTTACACAGATCAGCTTACATCACTGGCTTTAAGTTAGTTTTAATTTGCCTCTTTTTCTTCAAGAGGCCAGGAAACCTGGATGTGATACGGCTCTAGTTCTTCTGGAGTGACATAGTCTGGAGCGTTGGCCATCAGGTCTCGTCCCCTGAAGGATTTTGGGAACGCAATGACATCTCGGATACTTGGAGCGTCAACAATGAGAGAGATCAGCCTGTCAAGTCCTAGAAGGAGAAGACAAATTGGTGAACCACTTGAGTTATGGCTCTATATTACTTCCTCTGAGTCAGAAAAATCAGAAAGATTGAGTGGGTAATATTACTGAGCTTGAAGAAAAAGAGCGAAGCAAAATGAATTCTCAACCAGTAGCAGAGTAACAGACTTGCCTCAAGAGAAGAAATGCCGACCAAAATAAAGCCTTTCAATATTACACAAAGTTCTGCAACGACAGAGACGGTGTCTTTGCAAACACAGCATAACAAAATTGGGGCAGCTTAGTGGCAGGACACTGTCAGGGCACTGCTTGAGTGCTCAGAGCTCTTGGTCAACCAGTTCGGAAAGATTACAACAACCAGGAGGAATTCAAAAATAACAAGAGCCTCTGGGTGTCTGGATGGAGGGAAGTCACACTGAGAGACCACAGATTAAAATGCCATCTTTGTTTTTTGTAGGCATTTTTGTTTGTTTTGGGGTGTGTGGGAAGGGTGTTGTTGGTTAGTCGGGGTTTTTTCCCCTCTTTTGTTAAACTCAAACTTGCAGCATTCTAGGAAAAAAAGATCCTGACACGATCTGAATTAAGTGAGTAAAACAGATAAGGGAGAAGGGAAGTGAGACTGAAGCAGAGGGCAAGGGTGTGAAACACAAAGTACTAAGCTGTCCCAGACCTCTCAGCATGAAGTACAGGGATCCTGCTCTGGTTGCACAGGAATGAGAACAAAGACAACCTAATCTTGGTGACTAGACCTCCGTTTACTTCCCCAAAGCTGCTGCAGAGACGGAAGCACTGTGTAAGCCCAGCGTTACCAGGCAGATGTGCCAAAATCAACACCTGAACAGCCACCTCCATCAGAAGGAGACAAGGCTTTTCCTACCAAGCATGTTCCTGGGGTCTAGTATGCTAAAGAAAGGGCACAACACACCTGCATCTGCAGAGCTACAGAGCACTTACCTAAGGCAATTCCTCCATGAGGGGGAGCTCCTGATCCCAAAGCCTCAAGCAGATGGGAAAGCACCTCGGAATCCTCCTGCAAAATTACTCAAGTGTCACTGGACAAGCAATGCTCTTCCTATTAGCAACACAAGATGAAGATACAATTAAGTCATCCATTGCTCGGGGCTAGGAGTTATGTTTCTTTATCTGAGAAGCACGTGAGTGTCTCTTTCAGAATATTAAATTAACATTTAAACTAATTAGTCCTTTAAATCTCCGAGAGAATATTAGAGACATCTGTAGGTGTTACCTTCAGCACTTTCTCCAGCACAAAACGCTGTTGTTCTGCACTGTGAATTCTGATGGAGCCACCTCCAACCTCATTGCCATTCAGCACAAGGTCGTAGTGCTGGCTACGGACCTGCAGGGAAGAATGAACAGGCACCTCAGCGAGGCTGGGGCACAGCTGCATCCAACAGCAACCTGCACAGCAACGGCAAACGCTCTGGGAACGAAGCCATGAAACACTACAACACTGGTCTCTCGGGGGTATGTTGCAGTTCAGGTACCAGTCCTGCTGGAGGCATGGACTGCCTCTGGCAGATGTGGAAACAGCAGAAATCCTTTTGAAGGGATTGATCAAAACCTGAAGCTCCTTTTGTCAGGGACACACGTGGATACTGCCCCTCAGAGCAATGGGGAAGCCATCTCTTCCAAACAGACACAGACAAGATCACAGAATGGCCTGGGTTGGGAGGGACTCTAAAGATCATGTTGTTCCAACACCCTGCCACAGGCAGAGGATACATTCCACCAGGCCAGGTTGCTCATAGCCCCATCCAACCTGGCTTTGAACATCTCCAGGGATGAGGCAGCCACAGTTGCTCTGGGCAACCTGTGCCAGGGCCTCACCATCCTCACAGGGAAGGATTTCTTCCAAACATCCAATTTAAATCTACCCTCTTTCAGCTTAAAGCCATTTCCCCTTGTCCTATCACTGCTTGCCCTTGCAAAACATCCATCTCCAGCTCTTCTGTAGCTTATCTGGGCACTGGAAGGGGCTTTAATGTCTCCCCGAAGCTTTCTCTTCTCCATGCAGAAAAACCCCAGCTCCTTCAGCCTGTCTTCATAGCAGAGGTGCTCCAACCCTTTGAACATCTTAGTTGCCTCCTCTGGACTCATTCCAACAGACCTATGTCTTCCTTATGCAGTCAATTCCATGGAACAACATCTCTTTTTATACTAAAACCAGCTGCTACTTGCCTAGTTTTCCATGTGAGCTGCTGTAAAAGAGACAGCATGGCAGGTATGAAGTTAGTTACCTTTATGGGATCAGAATAGAGGAGGCTGGCATCTGAAGGATGTGGGGCAGTGAAGGGGTGATGAGCAGATTCCAGTTCAGCGGGATTCTCGGCCTTCGGGAGGAAAAGGGGGAAATCCACCACCCACAGAAAGTGAAAAGCTGTAGGATCACGGAGTGCCAGCCCAGCTGCCTCAAGGAGGATGGCACTCAACAACCGCAGGCTTCCTAATGCAGAGCACTGCAACAGAGAAGGGAGAGCGTGAGACAGGGCAACTTCACCATCGGGGAAGTCATCAAGCACCGACCAGGGAAAGAGAGTGGTTCACAAAGGCAGCATCAACTGTAATGCACTGTTGCCTTAAACACTTCCGTCTTGTATCCTGAAACATATCCCCTTCCTGCTGAGGTGGCAGCAGCTCCAGGGTTTGACAAAAAACAAGTAAGGAGCCCGACAGTCCATTTTCTTCCCTCTTCACGGAACTTTTTTAGACTAACCTCAAGCTCCACATATGTGGATTAACTGGAGGAACCCATGTAAGTTTTACACTTTGCAGACAGAGAAATGAAGGCATAGAGAAAGAGTGTGTACAACAAAACTTTGGCTATCAAGCAGAGCACAACACCTTATAATACACCAGTACTTGGAAGGCAACATCTGCTGGCAAGAATACGGAGAAGGGTAGGGACAGAATCTCCCACCAGTGCTGCTAATAAGTCATTCACTTATGGGAGACAAAATTACCTAGCTGACCTTGTTTTCCAACAAGGTGCTTTAAAAATTAGGTTAAGGTGAAAGAAAAGGAGGCACTGATTTGTTGCAGGGTTTTTTTTCTTATATTTCAGCCTTCATTTCAGTTACAATGCCTTCCCAGAATTTGACTGGGGGCAATAAAAGTAATAGGTACATTTCATGCTTTATTTGCTGTTGCTATAGCTTCTGCTGGAGAGAAACAGAGAATTAGACGATGACCTATTTAAATAAGAAGAATCAGACTAAGGTCAGATAACATCAAAACCATCATCAGCAACAACACTCAACTCACACAGCCAGCCAAGAAATGCCTCCTACCACTTGCTTATGTTCACCAGCTGCCAGCAGCACCACATCATCCACCTGCATGTTCAGTGCATGGATAAGCTCCAGCTGCTGCTTCTCACCAAGAAACTTGGTAAGCAGGGACTTCAAGCTTCCATCAGGCCTGCGGATAATTTCCATGATTTCCTAAAGAGAGATTATGTTTAGTGCAGTGCTGCCCTCTCTTGCCTTGAAGCATCACATGGTCAGGCACTGACTCTCAGCTATTAAAAACTGCTCTTCTACCTTCCTCTGCCCTTAAACACACTTTGCCATTCACCCATTCCAATAACTCAGCAGCATTCCTGTCTCACCTGGTTAAACTGGGATTTTGCTGACTCCTTTAATGACTCCAAGTCTTTGTTTTTAAGATACCTCTGGGGAAAGAACAAGAGAATACAGTAAAGATCAGCAAAATCCTTGGAAAGCTTGACTAGGATTCAAATTACTAAGCTGTTTCTAACCTTCTCAAATTCTTTTGCTTCTAGTACAAGTTCTTATGAGGGCTGTGGAACAGGACAGGGCCCACAGCACCGGGTTGTAGTTGGGTGTCCCTCCTAGAAGCGACCCCTCCAGGTGTACAGACAAATGTACCTGGTCAGCAGGGTCAGATCACACCAACTAGCTGCCTCCAGCCTACAGAAAAAGCAGGTTACACCACCACACCGTTGATGGGGAAGGCAGAGCTCAATTTAGGGGAACAGAGAGAAACCAACTGGGCTGACTGTCACAGTACTGCAAAACGCAGTAAATGAGTCCAGATCTTAATTTTTTTTCATCTACTCTAGTGGTCAGAAAGGCTCGAGATTCCACTTTATTGTTGCTCAAACACACACCTCAGTGCCCTCTGGTGGGAAGCCACTAACTTGCACTTTGTGTAAAAATTAAAGGAATCCTGAGAGAAACCATGGTCAGAAAGTCCTACTCCCAAAAGAAAACTCATTATTTAGTGGATTTATTTTTGCCATACTGTTCAAGCTACAACAACGCCCACAGCCAGAATTGAATCTGCTTCTCTGCCAATATATCTGGCTGTGTCAAACAAACTTCTACATCTATTGTCAGCTTTGGATTTGATCTGTGACATTCTCAAAATGAGACATGATTTGTGCCCACAAATGCAGCTAAAGCAAACATGAGAAGGACATGTACCCTGACCTTTCTCTGCCTAGCCCAGAGCTGTGCCATACTCAGCCCTGTTTCAATCTCTTACCACGAGGTACAATTTATTATTGAGATGCACATCAAAAGGCTGACAAAAAACAAGGTGAAACCCTGGGAGGATTCCCTATCCTCAAAGGATCTTGCAGCTTCATTCTCTTCTTGCCCTTCCTAAGGATAATACAGTCTTCCCATCATCTGATCATGTCCATCCTAACACCACTCAGCCCAACCTTTGGACATTGATTACAATGAATCCCAAGTTCCCTGAAGGACACAGCAAGGAACATTTCCATACTAATGAAGAAATTCAGATGGCATTTTATTTATTTCACATAAACCATAAGCAGGGATGTAAAAGCATCACTTACCACTCCCTGAGGGATACAAATGGCTCTGATGGTGCCACGTGGGTAACTGAGTGCATTCTGCACAAACTGAATGTCTGACAGACGTAAAACATCACTGATATCCACTATCTGAGAAAGGAGAGATGGGAAAGAGCCTTGGTAGTAGGAACATGAAGCAAAATTCCTGTACCTGTGTCTTAACACCTTCAACTCTATTCCCTTTTAGGAGCTTTTGCTCCTAAAACACTCAAGGTGCCTTGCTTCCTGACAATACATTATCTTTAAAATAAAATTTTATTAGAACATACGTTTTCTGCAGCCAACTAATCAAACCCACTCCTCACCAAGACCTGTACAAAGGGGTCTGATGGGACAGATCCCTTGGGTAAATTACAGCACTCAGAACTCCAGCCAATCATGTACATATGATCTAAAGATTATTAAAACACTAACAGAAAGAAAAAGCTGCAAGTTTACAGCAAGCAAACCCTCACCTTCATCTCAAAGCGAGTGTCTGGTTTGTCAGTCCCATACTGAGACAGTGCCTCCTGGTATGTCATGGAAGGGAAAGGAGTTGAAATGGAACCTCTTTCCTCAGGCCAGGAATATTGCAGGAGGCCCTCTATCAGTCTCTGGATCCCAGCTTGATCTACAAATGACATCTCTATATCTATCTTAAAACAGGAAACAAGAGGGGGAATTCTACATTAGCTATAGGTTTTGCTTTCACACCGCAACTTGCAGAAGCTCCTGAGCACAAAGGCGGCAAAACAAGAAGCAATATATGACATGACATCAAATCACAACTGCATTAGTCTGGCGATGTGATTATGATCTCCCTACAGCCTGATGACTCAGGAAACAACCACCTCAGAGAGCCCGATGAGGTAATGATGACAAGGACGTAAGAAGCAGCCTTGAATGAACCAGGCTAACTCTGCCTGGGATCTCAAGGCTGAGGAATGGGATGCCTGACCCAGCAGGACAGAAGGAGACTGCATCATCAAGCACAAACACACACACCAAACAACTCTGTACCCCCCCAAGCAACACCAGACTAGCACAAACCAAGCCTTCAGAAGGGGAAACAGCTAAAAAAGACATCTAAGATGAGGCAGCAGCACGAGCTGGTTACCTGTGTGAATTCAGGCTGCCTGTCAGGCCGTGAACCCTCATCTCGGTAGCAGCGAGCAACCTGGAAGTACCTGCAACAGCACTGTTCCTTAGATAACAATTTAAAGCACCCTAAATTACAGCTACAATCAATATTGTGGCTATAGAATTAACTGATCATAAAAAAAGACAATGGGAGGAAAAAAAGAACAGAGAGAGTGTTCTGGTCCTTTTGCAGCAGATGATCTTTGTTCTCAACCCTTGAAGAGCGTGAAATTTTGAGTGGAAGCAACTGCATCAGCAGCTGTATCCATCTCCAACCATATCTTCCAGAGGCACGTGGAGGCTGCCAGGTGAGCTGGTCTCCAGCAGCCCCATACTCACCTCTTTTTCACCTCCCAGTACACTCTACCGACAGCCATGCAAAATTCATAGACGAGACCTGGCCTGCAATTCACTGTGTGAAGAACTGTCTCCCTCTCCTTCAGTTTTATTTGAAGAGGCAAGCCCAGTTAAAAACTTGGTATTCAAGCACCTTGAGAACATGCTTTCCCTGTCTCTGTTATGCTCAGAAGCCCAGTCTTGTCTCAATTAGTTTTGTAGGTTACTCTTCTACGAGAAGCTTTTACCACACGTTGGATTTTCCACCCTTGAGGCAGACTGTGCTTCCGATCAGGTTTGCATTTAAAGCAGCAGTGAAGATTTCAGCCTTCCAACAGGATACATTTCCTCTGACTGGAAGGGCAAAAAGCCTGGCCTAGGTGGAAAGCCTCAAGTACTTAAGGACTCCTCTTCAAAACACAAAACCCTTGGCAGTAAGTTTTTGGGGAGAAGTATCTAAAACTTCACAGATCAAAGCAAGCCAACCCTGGACGGGCCATGCACTGAACAGGACTCCAAGAAACTCTTACCTGTCCAGGCCTCCAACCATGAGGAGTTGCTTGAACTGCTGAGGACTCTGTGGCAGGGAGTAGAACTTGCCTGCTTCCCTTGAGGGCACAATGAATTCTTTGGCTCCCTAAGCATCAGAAAGAAAATTGACAGAGTTCGACAAGTAAGTGGTCCCAATTCTTGACAGAGCACAAGAGGGAAGGACCTATTTCCCCATTATGAAATCCCACTTGTGAGGAAGTGGCTCTTTGTACAACACACTTAAGATCTGTTAACCAACTTGGTCCAAAATATCCCAAAGGAGAATTCTCCACCTCCTGGTCTGAGAGATTAATACATAATACATGGGTGATACCCCATCCAAGATAGGGGTTTAAATGCAAGAACTCCACACTCGCTGCATCAACAATTCCTCAGCTACAGCTCTCTTCTCTGTGACTATTTTTGAAGTGAAAGAAAGGAACATAAATTCAGAAATCAAATTTACTTGAGTACGACAACTGCAATAACCTACTGGCTACGAGATAAATGCTGGGAAGACAGTGCTTTAAGGAAGTTTTTTGGTTTTATAATCCAAGGACAGACTTGCATCCAGCACATGCTCTACAAGACAGAAGCTTTATTCATTTGAAGGTTCAAAATTAAGACTCAAGTTTTCACCTCTCCCCTTTCTGCCCCTTTACTTTTAAAAGGATCCATGGATCATATCAGAAGTTAAAAGAGCTGTTACTCAGTGAGGGAACAGCGATGAAGGCTGAGTGGCAACTGACAACAATTCCACCATGAACTGCCTGTGCAGCTGCAGGAGGTCAAAAAGCATCACATACATACCCCAGGGGTTCTTTTAAAGAGCGTTGGAGTTTCTACATCCACAAACCCTGGGGAACAAACACATGCTTCAGACACAGAATATGCTGAGAGCAGGAAGAACTAATACGACAGAGTTAAGCTAGAATATGGTCAGTCAGCCAAAGAGGTCATCTAGCACACCATGGAGCCTCTCCAAAATCCACAGACTGCTGCTTCTAAGAATAATTCCTGTAATGATAGATTTAAAGGCTCTGAGCTACCCTGATGTCCTGCCAGAAACGCTGATGACAGAGGACTAGAATCAGGCTGAAAAATTGTTCATTCTCTATCCATTCTGAACTAGGCACTGCTTTTCCAAAAAGGTGTCTAAGAGAAGCAAAAGCCCTAGAAGAGATCCATCCCTCTGACATGCGTCAACTGGGTGACCAAAAGCGGGAAACTACCTGCAAAACTTCCATTTCTCACTGGAACCAGCTTATTGGAAACAACTCGCTTGCAGCATGCCAAGAGATTTCAACATTGCTCTTCAGGCCTGGCAACAACCCTCTAAAGACCCCAGCACAAGCAGACATGTCCTTACTAAGTGGGACCCGGTTTGGAGTAGCTGGCTGGGATTTCTCCCAGCAATAGGGAACAGCAGAAAGGAGAGTTAAAATGTTCTTTTCTGCACACTGTTGTTGAAGTACACGTCTCACCATGGAGGTTGCAGAGATACTCCCTCATCCTCATCACCACTTGTGACCTCAGCCGCAGGTTGCGCTGCAGCTGGGAGCTGCGCAAGTCCAAGTAGCGATACTGCATCCGTAAGGCCTCCGACTTCTGGGGAGGAGAGAGAATGGGGATTCAGAGACAAAACTCGAACTCCATGTCCACTGCAGCTGCTCCTAAAGCCACAGGAAAAAAGGGAGAAGCTAAAAAGGAATGCTGCTCAACTGCCACAAATCAACCACTCCCCACAACCTACACAAGCATCCACCAGAGTGTTTTCACACACGACAATCACTTTCAAAAAAAAAAAAAACTGCCCAGAGAAGCTGTGGCTGCCTCATCCCTGGAAGTGTTCAAGGCCAGGCTGGACAGGGCTCTGAGCAATGTGTCTAGTAGAAGGTGTCCCTGCCCATGGTAGGTGGTAGGAATGAGATGATCTTTAAGGTCCCTTCCAACCATAATTCAAAAAGCCCCACACATTTACCATGATAAGAGCTGCCTCTTGTTTCAAACTCAAAGACAAAGCTAGCATAGCCCTATTCCTTCACTCTTCCCTTTACTATCCTTACACTGACACTTTGAAATCTGCAATCACTCAAGCCTTGTTTTCTGCTTAGCTCTTAGAAATACATCCTCACAGGAAACAAGGAGCACCTCTATTTTAAATATTATTTCCCCAAAGCGAAGCTGGGAGAACCAGACCAAGCTCTCAGATGTTTTGCTACCAACACAGGCAAATTCCCACTATATTGAAAAGCCACCACTTTGGGGAAACAACAACAACAAAAAAAAACAAAACAAAAAAATTAAAACAAACAAAACAAACAAACAGACAAACAAAACAGACACCTTGATAAAATCCTTGATTTCAAAAGGCAGCTTCTTGCAGAAGTTCAAGATCTCTGCAGTCTCCGCTTTCACTTCAATATCCCCTGTAGGCATTTTCTGGAGCAAAGAGGCAAGAAAAAAATTAAAACTCAAAACAATTGGACAAAGGTATTTCACAGATGGTCAAAGGGAAAAAAGAAACCTTGTGGTTATCTTCCCTGCCTTCTAACACAGTATATAACTCAGAGAGCTTCTCTCAAGGACAGATTTCTCCTTCTGTTCAGAAAAACACAAGTCACCTCACCAAAGATGGCAGGTTCTTTCCCAGGAGCATACTGGTCTCTTCAAGAAACACAATTACTTTTCCTGTGCCTTCTCCTCAAAGGACATGTTAAGCAGAGGAAGTCAGGCTCAGCGCTTTCTAGGGCACACATATTTGAACAAAACACTACCAATCAGTACCTCAGTTAACCTCAGAACCACACAGTGTACACGTTTTAGTGTACATTAGCAGCAGCCCTTAATACAAGCCAAAAAAGGCAAATTGTGAGGAACTTCTCAGAACTTCCAGTTCTGAACACCAGTTCTCAGAACTAGTCTTCTCTTTCTTCAATCCCAAGGGAGAGCAGGCAGCTTCCCTCACATAGCACTGAGGCACAGCAAAGTTCATTTGAGCCTGTAGAGCTCTTGCTATTTACCAGGAGAAAGCACGTACAACCTTCCAACAAAATGATACATGAACAAAAGAAATAAAGGTGTTGCTTGAAGCCTGCATGCTTCATGGATATCTACAAGTCGTCAGAGCAAAAATTTATGATCATAAATCCAGGTTCTCTTTTTAGATCATGGTGACATTGTACAATCCTGACAGATTACCCTACAGCTGATTACAATGAGAGCTGAGGAATACAGAACATTAAAAAAAAAATCAATCAGCCTCTGTTGAGGTTGAATGACAACAGCAAAATCTATTTTGAGTAAGAAACAGGTCATCACATGCTGTGGAACTTGCAACGACAATATTTATTTTTAAGAAATTTCTCCCTCACACTTTGAAAGCCTAGAAAAGCCAGCCATTATCCTCACAAAGAGCTGGGATGCCGTTTAATTTGTGGGTGCCTGCAACGTGCTTTGAGGTTCCCCTAAGCTACATGACACAGCAGTTATTTCACCTCACATTATCTGAGGATAGGCTGTCACACACCCAGAACCGACGGCAGCGCTATGACACCAACACAACCATAAACCTACAATCCAGTGTTCTTTTCCACAAGGAACAAAACCCCCGAGAGATCCCACCATCCTCACCGGATTCTCCTGCCCTGGCGGCCGAGGGGACACGATTCCAGTCACTCTCACCACAGACTCCACTGGGGCATTAGACAGGAGCTTCTTCACGTGGGAATGTGCCTGCAAGGAGATGTCAAAGTCTCACAGAAATTAAAAGGACAGGGCAAATGCACCTCATTTCTTGACAGCCCATTTGAATCCAAAATCACTCTTAAGCCAGGGGAAACAGCACTAATGTTTCTGTTGCAGTGTCAGGTCAGGGTCCCATAACACTTAAACCTCCCCTATGAGTCGGAGCACTGGGTCTGACCAAGCACTTGGTTCTGCTCTCTGTGTCTGCTGGACCCAAGCTACCAAAGGGAAAATAAAAACACAAGCTCGTACTCTGGTAGCACTTACCTCATCCTGTGGAATGATAATCTGGGTCAGTCCCTGGAAATCCCTCAAAACCAGAAACAGGCCTTGTCTGATCCATGAAAAACACAAAAGGAAAAACATTTTTTTTTCACAAATTTAGTAGTTTCTACTTTATAGAGCACACGGTAACCGGCTAATTTCTGAACCCTGTGACTCATTTCAAAGCACTTCCAGCTACTGAAAGTACAGATACTTCTCCCACACCTGAATCCAACCTGAACAAATAGTTTCAGATTGTGACCAGCCACAAACAACGTGCAAATAACCAGGAGAGGCAAAATTTTAACTTGAACGTTAATCCACATTGAGCAGGGATTCTGGACACGTGCATTTTCCTGCTGGGAAACATCATTCAGCTAAACACAATTAAATGAGCGATAAAGCTAAAGTTCACATGGATTTAAAAAACAAAAATAATCCAAGAAGGAGAACACTGGTCCCATAAAAAGTTCCACACTGCTAAACCCAGAATCATAAATCTTGATCTCTTCAGCTGTAGCAGAGACAGATGCCATTGTACTTTATCCATCAAGAAACTGTCAAAAGGAAAATGCTCTGGCTGCCTTTAAAAACAAGATCACAACAATCACATTGCAATAATCCTAATTCTGTTTCCTGGATCCCCATCCACAGTTGTTCAAAGATGAGGTGCTCAGGACCTCCTAAAATAAAATTAAAAAAAAAAAAAAAATCCATGCAGAGAACAATGCTGGGTAAAAAACAGCCTCTCTGGGCTGTGAAATGCAAAAAGGCAACTTCTGACAAATTAACTTCATCCAAGCCACAGAATCTATCTCCATGGTACAAGCACATAGCCACAAACAGGACATTTTGGGGGCACTGTCCACATTTTTCACCCTACATTTATAAAATGTTCAACTCCATTAGGAGAGATTGTATCACACCACCTACAAGGAAACTATTGGAATTCACATTCCATCCTCTACTACCTTTTCTTAATACTTCTTTTTTTAAGCAAACCTTGCATTCTTTAAACATGCTTCATTAGATGCTGTGATTGAAAAGACAACATTATTTGCTTGAAATTTAAGGACTCCATATAAAAGAAGTTGTAGAATCACGGAATAGTTTGGGTTGGAAAGGACCTTCAAGTTTAGCTCGTTCCAACCCCCTGCCATGGGCGGGACACCTCCCATTAGACCAAGCCCCATCCAGCCTGGCCTTGAACCCTTCCGGGGGGATGGGGCAGCCACAGCTTCTCTGGGCAACCTGTGCCAGGGCCTCCCCACCCTCACAGGGAAGTTATTTGCTCACTGCCATAAGAATTGTTATAAATAAGCTATTTCTTCATTTCTCTCCTATACAACCACGATAATTCTTTACTGCTTTACAATGCTGCAGTGAGGATAAATTAACATTTGTATGTAACTCTCAAAAAACTGAAATACTGATCTGACTTGTTTCTCAGCTGGTTTAATCACTTCAAAAAGGAGCACTGTAGGACATAAAAAGATAACTTGAAGCATATAAAGCAGGGTCTGAATCCAGCCCTAGAGCATACTCTGGATCTGACAAATAATCATCTCCATTTTCACTGCGGTTTGCATTTACCTTTGATACTGAATCCATCCATACAGGGTCACCTTCTGTCCCACGTGAGCTGAACGCAGCTCTCCACACGTGTTGGTCCGAATGACAAAACTGTTGAAGTCTTGAATAAAAATAATAAAACCTCTCATGGCTTTTTGCAGACGAGTGAGACAGAACAGTTAGAGAGTTTCCCCTCCCGAAACAATTAAGCCATAAACAGAGAAATTGCTTCATATATACATCTTCAATAAGATACTATGACATCAATATTAAGTGAGGTTAGTCCAAACATATTTTAAGTGGGATTATTTCTGTATCTCGGTCAAACCTTCACACAGAAATCTGAACACAGCCTTGCTGCAAACTGTCGCCCTGAAAAGTTCAGGAGGAAGAGAAGGAAAAGCCACAGATAGGTCAGCCCTGAGGGATGCTGCCCATTCCACATTCAAATCCAGGATAATAGAACAGTTTGGTTTAAAGTTGAAGATCATTTACTTCCAACCCCCTGTCTAGTGGGACACCTTCCATAGACCAGACTGCTCAGTCCATCCAACCTGGCCTTGGACACTTGCAGGGATGGGGTAGATACAGTTTTTCCGAGCAACCTGTGCCAGGGCCTCACCACCCTCACAGGGAGGAATTTTTTCCTACTATCTTAATCTAAAACTGCCCTCCTTGAGTTCGAAGCCCCTTGTGCTGCCACTGAAGTTCCTGATGAAGAGAAGACAGAGCACCAAGGGGGCTTGGCAAGCCAAGGCTGAAACATGCATGAAACAGACACTACCGTGTATACTGATTGAAGCTTCCTGCCTGCAACCACTGAGAAAAGGCCTGAACTAGGATTACAGAAGACTTTGCCCAGACCCCAGTCTGTAATCACAGCTTAAGGTGTAAAACCAAGCACACGGTTTACAGAATGTGCAATAGGTTCAGCTTGCAAGAAGTCGGAAGGATGCCATTACCTAGACATATATAACTAACTACAGGAGCCAATCTCACTGCCTTCATCACAGCCTTTACAATTAAAAGTAAAGAAGGGCTTATTTTCCAGCTATTACCTCAAGCATTCAGCCACCCCTGTTGTTTATAGATTGTGTGCTGCGGAGGGTAGGGGGTCAAAAAACAAAGCTCAGAAAAAAACCTAGACTAATTGGTCTTTATGTACTTTGAATCGTGATTCACGTTGAGATGCCAAAGCTCAAATAGAAACATTATTTAGAGAAGACACTTACTAAAGCGATACAGGCAAAATAACTTACCGCAAGTGTGACATTAAAAGAGTGCGTGGACTACCCTGACCTGTGCCCCGGGGAGGAAACACACACTCAAACTCCCCGAGGGGAGAAAAAGGACACCCCAAACCCCCGGGATGAGACAAGCGCTCCTTCCTCACCTGGTGCCGCGGGGGCAGAGACAGCGGCTGCCCGGTGCAGCGCCCGCGCCAGCAGCCGGGGAAGGGCCATCCCGCGGCTGCACCCGAGCCAGAAACACGAGAGCACCGCCACAGGCCTGCGGGAAGTTCAAAACGAAGACGCGGGAGGTGAAACCACGCCAGGCCCGCCGCCTCCTCCTTCCCACCGCCTCCTCCTTCCCTCCGCCCGGCCCGGCCCCGCCCCAAGATGGCGGCGGGGGCGTGCCCCGCGCGCGCGGGGGCTGACGGGAGGCGGGTTCGAACGGCGGGGCGGCCATGGCGGCCATGGCGGCGGAGTCGGCCGAGGACGGGGCGGCGCGGACCCAGCCCAGCCTCGGGCGCCTCTCGCGGGGCCTGCCCTTCGGACGGGCACACGGCCGTCTCGGCACCAGCCCCAGCGGCCGTCTCGTCCTGCCGGCGCCGCTCTCACAGGTACGGCCGGGCCGCCAGGCAGGGGAGGCGGCGGCGGCGGCACCTCCCCGTCTCCCCTCCCTTGTGCCCTCAGCCGCGCCTCCCCGCTCGCGAAACGCATTGAACGGTATTCCCTTTTTTTTTTTTTTTTTTTTGTCCTGTCCTAGGAAAGCGGGGATCCGCAGGGAACAGCGCTTCTGCTGCGCAAAGCCTGGACGCTGTACAGCGTGACCCCCCTGTACCGCTTCCGCCACGGCCGCCTCAGGGACTACGCGCGGATGCTCAGCGCCTTCATCGCCGCCGAGAGGCAGAAGGGGCTGGCGGTGGAGGTGGGCGTCGAGCTGGACATCAAAGTGACTCTGTCCAGCCTTCCCGAGCTCCGGGGCAGCGAGCAGGACCAGCCTGCCGTCCTCGTGCAGGTAAGGAGCCCACCCCGGCGGCTTTGGCAAGCGAGGTTTGCGTTTTGCACGAGCTGGTTTTGCCGTCATAAAACACTCTCTTTAAAGAAAGAAAACCAGCAGAAAACTATCTTTTAGTTGTATGGAGTAACTACTGTAGCATCCACTGAGACTGAATGAAACTGAGTCCTGTCTACTTTTAAATGGAATAGAGCATCATAGTCTTAAGCTGGACCAGGGTTGCACGAGGAGGAATTTCTTCACGTAAAGAGGGATTAGACATTGGAACGGGCTGCCCAGGGAGGGGGTGGAGTCGCTGTCCCTGGAGGTGTTTAGGGAAAGACTGGCCCTAGTCTAATTGGCAAGGTGGTGTTCTAATTGACAAGGTTGGACTCAGAGGTCTTTTCTAGCCTAATTGATCCTGTGATCTCCTAAGCAATGCATACAGTTAATTGCAGTTTTCAGTTCAACTCCTTAACAGGATCAGAGCAAGACTATACAGAGCAATCTGTCTTTTGTTTTAGTTCAGCAGTCAATTTACTGCCAGAACTCAGACCATTTAGTTTCCTGGATAAAGCTGCTATAACCCCTCCTGGTCACAGATTGACTCTAATCAGTATTTCTGAAATGCTTTGCCACAAGTGAAATGTGCTACTGAAATGTCAAGTTCACTGTGGTAGCGGTTGTAGGAAGTACCATGGATTGGCTCTTTGGAATTAAGCGTCATAGATCTCAGCACTATTCCTGAGGAAGTTAAAAGTGCTTTTTCCACTGTTTTCAACATAACTGCACTCAAATTTCAGGGATGCAATGGACAGACTGAATAATTGTGTTTTACAGAAAACAGTGTTGCATATGAGGTCCTGATAAAAAAAATTCTATCAAACACTTGAAACTATAAAACTGGTTTTGGCTAAAAAAAAAAAAAAAAAATCATACTTGCTCTTCAGCATTCAAATGCTTCTTCTCCCCATCCCAGCTTTCTTCAAGGTCACGAGCTTCCCCCAAAAACTCAGAAGACAAGATCCTGTGGTCGGGCTGTTTCTGCTGCGTGTATGGAGATGATCTTTCTGAGAACATGCCGGAGGACTTCACTTGTTTACCTCTGTTCCTGGCGAACGGGGCAGAGAGCTACATGTCTGTTGTTGGAAACTGGTTCCAGAAGACTTTTGACTGCATCTTCCGCCGTCTGGCCATCAGCCCCTTCAACCTCAGCTGGATGGTGGCCATGTGGGCTGGGTGCAAAGTGGACAAAGCTGCCTCTGCCGTGGAACTCGTCTTCTCTGTCCCCCGCCTGCCCCAGCCTCTGGATATTTCATATGCCATCCACCCAGAGGATGCTAGAGCCCTGTGGGACACCATCCAAAAAAATCCGGGAGAGATCACTCAGGAAGAGGTGGATGTCTTCATGGACTGCCTTTACTCCCACTTTCACAGGCACTTCAAGATCCACCTGTCAGCTACAAAACTGGTGAAGGTTTCTACAACGATTGCCTCGGCACACTGCGATGGGATTGTAAAGGTGAGGCTTTAAGTAGCAGGTTGCCTAATGTTAGCTGAATAAAATAGCTGCACCTGAAGGTTTCGCTTTCCTTTTGCATGGTTTCCTACAAGAAGCTGTTATACTCTTAAGCTTTTACTAGTCATATTTAGTTCTGGAGTTGGGAGAGCTGTCAGTACAGTATTTTACTACTGTGATGCAGCAGAGGCTACTAGTTTTGGACCAGAAATAGGCTGTGGCGTGAACAGGAGAATTTCTTTGGCCATAAAGAACTTTTTGGATTTAAAAAGATACCCAATTTAATCCAAAACCTTTAGAAAAACTCACTAGCTTTCTAATACTGTGTTTTTTAAGATCCTTCACATGTAACCCTTTTCATAAAGAGGCTGGTCTTCTTATAGATATCTGTATAATATCCTTCAAACCATTAAGAATAAATCCTTCAACAGAGCAGCTGACTAAGCACAGGGAGCACATGGTAGTTGGCTTCCAAACCTTTGAGGGTGTGGAAATCTGGCACCTGCAATTTTTTTTTTTATCGTGTTTTTTTCTTGCAGATGCTACACAGCCAATACCTCTCTGGAGTGCTGATGCTACTGACCGAACTCGCAATCTCTCAGATACAGTGAGAGCCATTTCAGCAAGTCTTCGTGCTACAAAGGCTTCCTGTTGAACGATGTATGCTGGGAAACCAACAGGAAACTCACTCCTGCAGCATCTTCTTTCCTCTCGTGTTGGTTGTCCAGAGCTGGACTATACCTCCTGCACTTAGCTCCGTTACAAGCTGTAACTCCATGCCATGCACAGCCAAGACAAGGAGACATTTTGCCCTAAAGAAGGGCTGCAGTACAGACTTGGGGTAGTTCCTGAGCACCTTTGTTTTATCAGAATCACTCTGTTCATTTATGTTTAGGAGATGAACTCTGATAGGTGTTTCTGTCGTCTTCAAAGGGCGAGTTGGTTTTCTCTTAATTAGACAGCAGCCCAGGCTACACAGACCTTAGCCTTAGCTAAACTGTGACTACTCTTGGGCTAGTCTAAATGCAAAATTCAGCACACCTGGAAGAGGGAAGGTGAATGCTCTACAATCCAGGGCAGAAAAATCGAGGTTTCTAGCTCCCTGCCTTGTGTCCAGCCCGTTGGTCCTCTCAGCTGAATTAATACAAAGGAAGTGAGGTCTGTAGATAGGCTTTGCATGATGTTTGGATCTTGGACGTGATCCTGTAGGCCAGAGAGCTCTTGGGGTTAGAGCTGTGAGCTAAAATTTTATGTTGGTTCTCTCCCTTCTTGAGCAGGTAGTGCACAGTGCCTAGCCAGAGATTAAAGGGGGCAAAAGGAAGCAGTACCTGCTAAGTCTTAAGATTTTTGTAATATAGTACTAAAGAAAGAAAATATTTTCTGTCTTTTGTACGTAGACTGGTCTTAAGGAAAGACCACCTGTGCCCAATTAAATATTATTCTTGCATGGTGCTTATTTCCAACTATAGCTTACCTGGCTAAACCACCACTTGTTACCTATTAAATAATTTTGGAAGCAGCAAAATTTAAAGTTTACTTTCTTGCTTCACACTTGTGCAGCATCTCCAGGCGCTGATGATTTGTGCTGTGACCTTCTCCCTAAATAGGGATGCAAGTTTCCTTTCTTTTCCCAATTTAAAACTGCCTAACATGACATAACAGCATGCCTAGTTCCTAACCTATTTCCAGAATTAGACAAAGAAACATGCACTTGTTTTTAGATTCTTTACTAGTTGAAGATGGATTGTTTTTGCATGTCAAGGCTGCAGTCTGTGGTAACTCTTACCCTGGTAGAAGGAGCTAAGTGATCTTCTGAAGATCCTGACAGCTCAGCAGCTACTTAAACTATCACTTCTGGTGCTTTATTTTCCTTCTTATTAAATATCTTAGACAAAGTTTGCTATCTGGAGTCAGAAGAGCACTGGACAGAAGAGTACAAGGTGTCACAATAACTGGCACCTGTATTTGATTTGAAAACACAACTGTTATACCCAGGGTTTAGTTTTAAATCTAATGCTCAGCTCTTTCCAACAAATTTGCATAAAAAGGCTCTAAAAAACCTAAATTCTCTATAGCCTCTTTCAACCTTTTCCTTGTCTTGTCCTCACTGATAACTGCAGTTAAGTGAGCAGAGATAGACTTACCCAGATATTTAGCAGAGATGCTTCCTTCCAGAAAAAAGCTGGTTCTGAGTGATGTGTTTCTAACTGAAGGGTAACACTAAACAGCAGAGGTTTAAGTCCATTTTACTTGGACTGGTATTTGAAAAAAAGACTCCAGCATCTGTGTCCACATAATTCATACTCCACTGCTTTCACCCCAAGGAACAAACCAAGAACAGCATAAAAGAAATTTATTAAGATAGCACTATTTATACAAGTTACTCATGCTAGAAAAAAGCATAAATGATACATGTAAACATTTGTTTACAGAATACTTATTTTCCTTGTAAAGGTGCAAATGATCTCCAATGTAAACACAAGAATACCGACCTTTAGAGGGAAAAGGGCTTTTAAAAAAAGGTTTAATGACCCATTTATGACTGTAGTGTAATTTTTACTATATTCAAGCACATTAAAGTCTGAGTTACATGAATCAAACTATGAAATTAAAGAACTTAAGATGTCAGCACTTGCCTTTTCCTGTCTCAAGAATTTACAGTCCTCCTACTCTTTTAAACCCAGATTTAGTAAAGTCCACAGTTAGATCAAGTGCAAAAGGTCATTCTTTCATACTCAATAGAAATTACAGTACAAACAGAACCACTGAGTCGTGAGTTCTTCCTTCCTCTACCCCCACCCCCGGGTGCCTCCAGTTACTCACAGTTCCAGCAAACAGTCCTTCCCCTCCAAAATCTAATGAGCCTCGTACCTTTCCCTGCTCTAAATATACACAGGCAAAGTGCACAAAAATCACTAAAAGGGAGGGCACCATCTCATCATGGTCTGGAATTCTAAAGACACAGACAAGAGGGCAGCTGAGGTGGTGCTGGTCTAAGCCTTTTTCAGCAGGAAGGAGCTGGCTGCAGGTCTGCCCTTCTAGCGAGAGCACAAGAAGTGAATGTCAGAATTAACACACGATACCTGCACCCCAGCTTCAGGCAAGAACTGGTATCTAGCGGGCAACAAACAGGAGGAAAAAGGCTTTTGTAAGTGAGCAGATGTTTCGAGGTTCACATACAGGGGAGAGGAGAGATAAAAGCTGAACTTTTGTACCATACGCTGTACAGTAAAAAGGCATCGTTAGAAATCCTTTTCTCTCTCACCTGGTTTTGGGCACTTCACTGATTCAGTCGATAGAGGAGAATTCCAGTTCTACTTCTTGCCTCTAGCAAGAGTGGAAAGATACTCAGGGCACCCATCCTCACAGCTCTCCTGGACTCTAAGGGACCCTAAATCATACCACAAGGGCTGGAACCACAACAGCTGGCAGGACATGGCCCTGCCCAAACCACCAGCTGGTCGAAATGCAAATCACACAAATACACACATATATATAAAATACATATATATAGATAAATATATATATGCACACATATATATGTATATAAAAAGCTGGAACTATCGCTGTGAGCGACTCAAAGAAAATACATGATACAAATTAAATGAAAAAATAAATATACTCTGTGCACAGAAAAGCTTCTGTGCAAAAGGTGGCACCTTGCAGGTCAAGTACTTCTTTGAAGCTCTCTGTAAATAAGGCAAAAGCAATGTTTTCTGTATCACTTTTCTCTTTCGCCCACCAAACAGCTGCCACATCCACTGCTCACACAGCAGGAAACCCTCCTCCTTGCCAGACTCCCACTACAGCATGTAGTCTCTACGTCAGCATCGTTTTACGCTACAGTAACTGTTACAGTTTGGTTTATTCGAAAAATGTAGACTATTTAGAAAAAAATACGGACATAAGCAACACTTCTACTTTTGTCCAGTGGTTCCTGGAGTCTGACAACGTGGTCTCCCGTTGGGCACACTCTCACAGAAGTCATTTTTGTAATTCCATAGAAAGAGTCACCGGCTCAAAGAGTTACATTGGATCTAGACCGTGCATACTAGAGCTGCAAAGAGGTCCAGTGTCAACAAGTCTCTTCAGTTTTTCTAGGAATGAGAACCAAGGGAACTCCCTCCCGCTGGATGCTTACCATATATGGGATTCACAGTGTGTCATTTTGATAACTCCTACGCCTCCTCCCAGCCGCCGGTAGTTCATCCCGCCATACAACCTGCAAGGACAAGGTTTTGGGGTCACACTGGTTCACAGCCCTCATGGAGACCCCATGGGGACCAGCCTTAGGGAGCACAATTTGGAGCTATCATGGGGGAAAAAAAAACCCCAACCAGCTCCAGTGAGCACACTTTGACCATCGCTCATTTAAAGTAGATGAAGAAGTTGGGTAGCACATCTCACACACCTCCAAGGTAAACAGCTGTATTTTCTCAGGCCTTTGTCTCTCAATACAGAAACTGCTTCTCCTTTTGACACCAGATTGGTGTTACTCAAGTAATGACTCCTTTCTCCCTGTCTGAATACACAAGAAAACAACTCTGCAGGTTGTATCTGACCTTGGGCTACATTTTGGGTAACACAGGAGCCAGAAGAGGTTCGCTCCTCACAATTCAACTACTTTTATTTCTAATTATTTTAGTAATTTTATATTGTTCATCATGGCTAGGCTTCGCAAACGAAGATGAGGGAATTTTATATTGTAATACCCTAAATTCAGCTGATTCAACTAAGATGTAATGCATCCCAAGCACCATCTATTTATGAAATGATGCCTGCATTTCATATGGCTATCTGATCCCTACAGACTCCAGCATCCCAAGCATTTCAGCTGCATATTCCCAAGGCTCAGCAAACAAGGGGACATTCCTCCACTGCTGCTTGTGACAGCCTTTCTCAGCAGGAAAGGGTTAAGCTAATACTATTACCAGTAGGAATAAGGACATTAATTTCCCTCTATTCCCCACTCCTGCCAGATTACTACAACAGCAAGAACACCCATATAGGTTTGAAACTAATTAGATTTGGGAATTAATACACAATCAATTGCTTTTAAGTATAGTTATGACTAGAAAGGCTACTTTTCCTATTTTCTGCTCCGTACATATTTTGGATCAGCGATTCAATATTACTTCTCTCAGCTTATACACCAGATGATATTCTTCCAATTGCTGTCTTGCAGACTTAGGGGAATAAACATCAGAATTCCCAAGTGTTCTGTCTGAGCTCCTCCAAAAGGATTTGGAAATCACAGCCTCAGCTCGAAAGCAAAAACGTAGTAGGCCAAATTCTGCATCGTGGCTGTGAGCTCCTTCTGCTAAGGGCAGGCTTTTTTTCCCCAGTTTTACTGGGAAGCAGGAGACTCAGCCCAAAACAAAGACAAGGGGCATACTGGGGTGCTTTCCAAAATGTGATTCTTTCTTACACTTCCATACAAGGCAACAGCCACAGTGTGAGTGTTGTGCTGGCTCTACCACACATAAAGTCTTCACTGTGGGGTGCATCACCTTTCCAGTTTGTCTGGGACAGCTCCAGCTGGGTGGCAGCAGCTCCAGCTGGATTTCCCTACTGGATTGTTTCCCAAACTCAACAGTTACCTCCATGTGTTAGCATCTGGATCAAACACCTCAATGGTCTTCAAGTACGTTGTGCCATCAAAACCCCCCACTGCCATCAGCTGTCCATTCACCACAGCAAGGCCAACCTGCAAAACAGCCATCACAGACAGCAGCTACTTAGCTGGCATGTCCTGAAAAGAAGGGATGAAATGAAAACATTAATAAAAAGATTTAATAACCATGTTTGGTGAAAGGCAGTCTGCAGGAGAGGGTTGGGGTATTTTTCTTTAGGGTGTGGCAGAAATAAAATATCCTAAAAAATGAGACATGGAAAGTTAAACATATATCTCAAACTAGACAATCTCTTAAAGAAAAAGCAGAAGGTTCCCCCTATTGACAGCTACAAGAAGTAGAACCATTTGAATGATAATAGATACATGAAAATCTAAACGTTTTCCATCCAAAACTTATGTTCCAGATTGAAATTCTTCCTCAAGTGTGACTTGCTGTGACTTCCAGCCCGCAGCCTGGAACACTTACTTAAAGTAGAAGAAACACAGGTCACAAACCTCTCAGGCTGGGGCTTGGACCACCTGTAAATCATGTTGGCCCCCAGCCTTTCTGCTTAAGCCATTCTGCAGAAGCACAAAATCACTGAAACGTCAAATAGACGATCGCTTCCAGCAGCAAACATATGGTATAACATAGAGAGAGCAGAAACACCATGTAAAATGGTCCCTGTTTTGGCTTTGTGGAAGTCAGAAGACTCAGGAGGGATGCAGATACAGATGCCTCTGTTAAGCAGTTTCTACAGAAAGCAAATACAGAAGCAGCTGATAAAAAGTCAGTGTCTAATCAGTAACTAAAACGAACAGTGTTGGACAGCGTACCATGTGCTTTGATGACAAACAAAAACATGTTCTCTGCCTCCAAAACCAGTAGCTGCTCAAATTATGATTCATAGATGCCTCAACAGGCACTGAAATACTAACACACAGATAAGAACTAATCCACTCTTTACTATATAATCCAATATCCAGTGATAAATATTCGTAACATCTGCATGTGCCCAAACACAATGATTACTTAAAACACTGTGTTCAATCTTTCATTCTACAGAAAGCACCAAGATTAGCAGCTGATGAGAACATGCTGTCACTCTCTATACTCATAGGATTCAGTGAAGAGAGGCAACAAAGTAAGTGAAAGCCCAGAAACCCTGTTCCCACACACACCTCAAGGCAATGAAACAACTTGGAAGGCAAGGCTGGAAATTTGTATCTAAATACATATCTAACATTAAATACCTAACGTTACCAATTTCCCAGCTTTTTCCTGGGAATGTGGTATTTTCACCTCCTAATTCATCCAGAGAGACTCAGGTACTGATTTTGATAGCGTTCTTTAACAGTATCTCATACCAAGTGCAGCTATTTCACCAAGTAAAAACCTAAAAACTCCTCTCCTTCAAGCCTAAGCAGTTGACTCCATACCAGGGACCAAAAATATTTAAAAAGACCTTCAAATGACTCCATTTTCCCATCCTCAGGCACTTTAAACATCTCTCTAGGGCAAGACACGGCTACCACTTCATTCTCTAGTCTTGCTAGAGAGCTTTTTGCAAACCTTTCCCCACACGGAGAAATCAGGCACACGGAGAAATCAGAGGGGAAAAAACCCCACAAGTTGACACTACCCTGTGCCCTCACCACATGCTTATGTGTGGTATAGACAAGCAAACCAAGCCAAACTCACTCCGCTCCGGCGGGACGTCATGGCCACAACGGGAGACCACTGGTTGGTCCGAGGGTTGTATCTCTCAGCACTGCTGAGCTCTGTTGTGTCATCCCTGCCTCCCACAGCATAGATCATGTCCTGGTACACTGCACAGCCCAGGTGTTTCCTCCTCGTCCCCATGGGTGCGATGGTGTGCCAGCGGTTCTCCTGGGGGTTGTAGCGTTCCACTGCAGAGGAAACGACACGGCTTTGGACAACAAGGCTGGCAGGCAGTGGGGGGGTTTGCACTTTTGAACACTCATCCAAAGTCTTGCTCTAAAGACACTACAATTTCCACACAGCAAAGGTGTGATGAACCGGTGTGTTCTCTCTTTTCTTCCACAAAACACTTGTTATTATCTCTCCTGTCTCCAGACCTATACAACCAATCACATTCAGATCTTCACTCAAGAGGGAGCTGGCAATGCTACAAACTGACCTGCATTACCATCTTGCAGCAGTTTTACCTTTGGCACCTTCCCTCCTACAGCAGAAAAGGGCTGCTGCAGGAAAAAAAGATGTGCTTGCAACCGCTATGCAAATGATCAAAGCATTGCATTCAGGACACGCTGCCAAATGCAGCACTGAGGAATTAAAATATGCCACACACAACTAGGTAATAGGGGCTCACAAGCCTGGAGAGTGAATTACTGTATAGCAGAATACTATTTAAAGAAGAAAAAGCACCTAAAACTGATCACTGTCTGATTCAACAGCCATTTGGGGACACTAAGGACAAACAGGACCTTGACAAGTGCTGACTGGAATTAGGGACAGTAAAAGGCATACCAGTATTGAGAGGAGAAGTTCCATCAGAGCCTCCCACAGCATAGAGGAAGCCTCCCAGCACAGCCACTGCAACTCCCAGGCGCCTGGTGCTCATGGAAGCCACTCGAGTCCATTTGTTTTCTTTGGGATCATACCTGGCAAAAGAATAAACACCGGAGTTTAGTGAAGTGTTGACATCTTCACAAAGGGGCAGCAAGACTGGCCCGGACTTGATGATCCCTATGGGCCCCTGCCAACTCAATGTTCTGTGATTCTCTCCAAAACAAAATCACCTTAAGATCTGTATAGTTTCTACCTCCTCTCCAGCTTGTCTTACATCAATCGACCCTCTTTATCCATGCGCCCCACATCTTCCTCTTTTTACTTTTGTCATAGAAAGTACCTTTCCACAATGTTGAGACAAGAGACGCCATCCTGGCCACCCACAGCATAGAGGTAGCCCCCCAGAACTGCTACTCCAACACTGGTCCTGCAGGTGCTGGTGGGGGCCACATCACTGCTCCACTGATTGGTCTTGGGATCATACCTGGAAAAAAACAGCACAAATTATCTGTCTAGGTCTGCTTTAGACTCTCCTATGTTCAGGAGCTACTAAGGCTGTGAAACCTGCCTATCTCGAGCTTAAACTGCAACACAGCTCTTTGTAAGTCAGATAAAACCCCTGAAGTGATATAATGCATCCAAGTACATGTTATTCTGGGGATGTTCAAACTGCAGCTTGAGATGATTCAAGCTGAAGATCAAAGGTTTAGGTTCCTGAGACAGCAGGTTAGCAGGGACTGGCTGGCATGTGGTAACTTGCAGCTATGCAAAGAGCAGCAGCCAGTTACTCTGCTCTGCGATCTCTGCAGTTCACACGAGAACTCAGCCAGCACTGTGACCTCCACTTCCAGATGAAAGATGAAGGAACCAGATGGACTTGGGAATCCAGAGACAAGGGAACGTGGTGCATAGCAAGAAAGTGCAGGACGTGGGAGATGTAAAGCTACAGTCATGGCTTGGGAAGCTGGGAATAGGCAAGGAGATAGGTGGGAAGATGGGGAGGCCCGAGGAGGGAGGAGATATATTTATATAGCTTATTGGATTTGTTACACAGCCAAGATTTAGAGTACTAGAAGATTTGAGTCATGTTTTGAGTACAAGATTTGAGTCCTGTGGCTTTTAGGCATGAGAACTGCCATATGCAGCTCCCAGAAACAGGAAGCTTAGTAAAACTTGTTAGACTTAAGTCTTTCACAGGTCTAAAACTGACCTATTTTTCTTCTTCTGTCTAAGTGCCAAGGTTCCTTAATTCTCTAGTTGCCACTCCACAATAAAATTCCAGGATCTTTCCCTCAACAAATAAGAAATGCTTACTGTAACCTCACCTTCCTGAACAAAGCTAAAAGACAAACCAGCAATTGCAAAGGAGGTTAACCAGGATCATCTCTCCTCCCAACAATTATACCCAGACCCACCTCTTAGAGATTCCTACCCTATTCCAAAGGCTATGGCTTGTCCCATTAAGCTGGGGATAACATGACACAAGCTGCTATGCATGAAGTCCTAGTTCAGCAGCAAAACAGCACGGTATTGAAGGAGTGAGCAAAGGAGGAGGAAATAGGGGTAATACGTAATATAAATTTCAGGTTTTCACTAGAACAAGAACACACTTGGCAAAACGAACTCATTCCTAAGAGGCTGCACCCGGGTTTAAACATTCAGAGTGAGCACTCTGCACAGTGGCCTCATGGAGACCTACCTTTCTACGCTGTTAAGATACGAGGAACCGTCGTGGCCTCCCACAGCATAGAGGAGATCATCCAGAACACTGACTCCAACGCCACAGCGCCTTTTGCTCATGGAAGCCACCATCCTCCACTCGTTGGTCTGAGGGTCGTAGCGCTCCACACTGGAAATTGCATCCCCGCTACACCAGCCCCCCACTGCAACCAAACACAGGAGACAGTGCCATTCAAACACCCTGAGCTGACTCACTGCGTGAGCTCCTGGTACAAATAATCCCTTCGGACTCTGCCAGCCGCGACCCAACAGCCCCATCTCTGAGTCATTCTGAAGTTCATAATTAGTATGATTTTCAAGAGCATTAACTTAAGTTCGGAAATACTGTGGCATTCACAGCACCAAAGAAATCACACAAGTGAGAAAATGAAAGTTAAGGCAAACCTCCAAATATTAATGCACGGGTCACTTCACAAATATGTTGCTGAGAATGGCATTATGGGAGCACTACCACCAGAAAATCCTGCCTGGAGTCTCCTGGCCTAAGCCAGCAGGGATGATACACAGAATCACAGGATATTCTGAGATGGAAGGGACGCACTAGGATCATCGAAGTCCAACTCCTGGCCTTGCATGGGACAGCCCCAAAAGATCATACCATGTGCCTGAGAGCATTGTCCAAGCGCTCCTTGAGCTCTGTCAGGCTCGGGGCTGTGACCACTTCCCTGGAGGAGCCTGTTCCAGTGCCAGACCACGGTCTGGGTGAAAAACCTTTTCCTAAAACCTAACCTAGACCTCCTCTGGCACAGTTTCACGACATTCCCTCAGGTTCTATCACTGGTCACCCTGCCCCTCTGATTCCCCCTGAGACAAAGCTGCAGAGTGCGACTGAGGTCTGTCCTCAGCCTCCTTTCCAGGCTGAACAAACCAAGTGACCTCAGCCACTCGTGTGTGGCCCCTCTAGACCCTTCACCATCTCTGCAGCTCTCCTTTGGGCACTACACACGCATCTGCAAAGATACACACCTGCAAAGAGCACCTCTCCACAGCGGATGGGTTTGCGTGGCCTAGTTCTTGGTCCCTGCATCAGCGGCCGCTCTTGGGGCAACAGCAGATAGTTTTTAGCTTCATCCACTAGATCCCTGTGCAAGACAGGAAGATATTAATTCCTAAAGCTCAGCTGCAGTCTCAGGAGAAGGTATGAATCAGAACCGACGGGAAGAGCAGCCAGCACTAGGCATGCTCTTCAAGTATTCACAGATCAGACAAGTGCATAAATAGCTCTAGTTAAAACTCACGCTGTCACCTAAATACTCATTAGCTGCTTACAAGCCATTTACACAGTGATAGCAGTAAACCAGTACCAGTATTTGGCCAGAGTTAATAAAAGATATCACTTGCTTTAAAAAGACTGATAAAAAACTATGACAAGGTATTCGTCAGGCTTGCTGCCCAGAAAAGAAAAACCCAGTCTGCCTCAAGCTAAAATTTATCAGTTGTTTTGCCTCAGAACAGAACAGGAGTTGTAAAGCACACAAATACATAATACACACACAACCAATAGATGGAGATAGTACCCTTTGATGAATATTTTCTCCATCAGCTCTGGCCAGCTCACACTGTCCATCCATTCATGACTTGCCACCTGGACTAATTCTAATATTCCAAACCCTTGAATAAAACAAAAAAAAAAAAAAAGAAAAAAAACGTCCTCCTTCCCTCTACAATTGTGGAATTCCCCCAGTATGAATGCTTATTCAGTAAGAGTTCAGCCTATCCCTTGGACATTTTTACAACAAGCACAAGATAAATCGTGTGCTTTGTGGATGATACAGAACTCTGCAGAGCCAGACAGGTGACACTCGTACCATAAGAGGGGGAAATGACAACTTCCCTGCATTAGCACTGTGGGAAAGAGCAGACTCTAATCCCAGAGTCCAATTCAATTATCAAAGTGCAGACATTTTACATAGAAAAACTACTTGAACTCTTACTGAGATCATCACGAAAGCCATGCAAAAGCTAAGCTGTAATAAAAGGCCACGACTAGAGGGGGGGAAAAAAAGGCAAAATGGAAATCAATACACTGAAAGGTCAAACCAACAGCCAAACTGCACACTCAAAGTTTGCTATTTCACTGAAAACTAGAAGGAAGAAAAACACTTCTAGGGAGACAGAAAACACTTTTTCTTGCTTCTCTTCTTCTCCCAGTTGCAAAAAATGAAATTGTGAGGCATCACCCACTTAGCACTGACAAATCATCAGTTTCAGAGAATAACACAATCCAATTTTGTGAATCACTGAGGAGATTTACCGGCATTCCTCATCACTCTTAATTAGCGGATCAGAACCCACTGTACCCACAAGGAACTTGGGACTCAGCAGTGGCAGGCGGACATGCTGCAGGACCTGAAACACAAACCAGAACGTAACTAGTTAGCCACATACACCCACAGAGATGCAAGAAGCCAAATGGAAAACAAAAGAATCGTAGAATGCTTTAAATCCCTTCCAACCCAAACATCATCTGGTTCCAATTCCTCTGACATGAGGAGGGACTCCTTCCACTAGACCAGGTAGCTTCAGAGCTTCATCCAGCCTGGCCTTGAACACTTCCAGGGATGGGGCAGCCACAGCTTCTCTGGGCAACCTGTGCCAGTGTGCCTCACCACGCTCACAGGGAAGAACTGTTTCCGACTATCCAATGTAACCCTGCCCTCTGTCAGTTTGAAGCCATTCCTCCTTGACCTGTCTTTCCTGGCCCCATCACCTTGTAGGATAACTTCAGGTACTGGAAGGCCACAATTAGGTCACCCCAAAGCCTTCTCTCTCCCAGGCTGAACAATTCTCTCAGCCTTTCCTCGTAGGAGATTGCTCTATCCTTCTAATCATCTTGGTGTCCTCTGAGCTTGCTCCACAGTGGCTAACAAATTTTGATAAACAGTTAATAATTCCTATGGACACATGCAGGGGCATTTACGTACCCAGAACCTGGCACTTTAGTTAAATACAGATCATCTTACAGCACCTTTGCCTTTTCAGTATACCAGTTTAGATACCCAGGAGAAAATCGGTCTTTGGAAGGGGACAATCCACTGGACCTATTAACAGCTGAAAACAAGGTCACACTTGGAAATGTGACAATTAAAAAATGACAAAATGTCAATACATCTGCCTGAACGCTAATTTAGTTAGTAGTTTTATCAACCACTTAGCTCTCTAAAACCTGAGCGGTATTGCAGAGCAAATGAACAATAAGTAATAACACTCCTTCACAATGGTTTAGAATTTGGAGGTGTAAGCAGGTATAGACAGTTATAAAAGCATTAAGAGCTGCCTTGAGAACATCAGGTTTTTCCAGTTTGGTTTGTTTATTTAAAGCCATTTTCAAAAGCTTTCCAGTAAATAAAGTTGTATTTAATGTCTACTTCCAAAGCAGAAACACTGAGGCAGGCAGACACGCACCTCTTTTGATCAGCCAGCCCGAGACTTCAGAGGCTTTGGGCTGACAGCTTTGTCAGAATGGGTTCTGCTCCGTGAAATGCCTTGGCTTAGATGAAGCACTGCATTCCAACAAAACCATTCTGACAAGCTCCATGAGGGCTGAGGCACAAATCAAGCAGCAGAGCTTAAAGATGCACCGCAAACCGAGACGAGCCTTTTCTTCTCCACTTTGTTTTTCATACAGCACTCAAAAGCAGTGCAGGCAGGTTTGTCTGGACAGACGGCTGGAGTGAGCTAGTTTAGCAAGTCCTACCTGGAAGCAATCCAACAAATTCCCTATTTAAGGTTCTAGCCAGTACAGCTTCCAGCCTAGATGAAGGGACAGTGCAAGCCACCTAACACGGGTGGGAGTCAGAGAGAAGTTCAGTGGCTCTCTGTGCATTCAGAACTGCTGTGGCACCCCCCTATGACCCCCTCCTTCACCCTCGGGATAAAGCAGCCAGGAATGTAACTGTGGTCAGCATTACCTGTGGCAGCTGGGGTCTTCTTTCCTGAATGCTGTACTTCACCCAGGCCATCACGGCATTGAACACCTGCTCTTCGCTGCGCACATTTAACTCGTCGCTGGATATTATGTCTATGAGCTGATTGGCAGGAAGCAGCATGAACTCCTCGCTCTCCATTACCTGGGAAAGCAAAAAAAGGTAAGAAAGTAAGGACCAAAGCACCAGAGCCACCACTCCAGCACTTTATGGACGAAGCCAGTGATATGTCAAATACCCATGAGTTTCAACACCAGCATATGAAGGGTTTGCTGCACAGAGAAGAATTGCAGTCAGTCGCTACCAACACAACAAGGGCCCTTTTAGATGGGGATGCAAGTAACAGGGAATTTTACACCAAGTTTTTTTATAGGACGCTTCTAAAGGGTTAAAACCACAAAACACACTTTTTGATCGGGTTTCAAAATTTAGGAGAAAACAAAGCCCTTCTTTAAAATCAGTCTCCTTGTCTGCAGTGTCTAATATATAAGGCAGAAATAATACTGTGATAAATATGTGACTCAAAAGCTATATTGGGGTAGAGAGATTCACAAGAAAAACAAAACAGTGCACAAAAATAAGAGTCTCAAACAAGTTACCAGAGGCACTGCAGAGAACATGGAAAGCCTGAGTACCGATTTGTGGCAGACCAGAAAATATTTCAGGAGAGGGACTCATTTGATCCTGCCTCTTTGATTTGCTCTAAATATATACATGGAGTATGCACAAGTGGAGATGCACTAAAGAGGGAATCAGAGCCTCCTGAGCCCCTAAGGACTGATCTCTTGTGAAATTCAAGCCACTGACAATCTGCAAACACATTAATTCCTTCAGCATCCAAGATAGCAACCAAGTTTCTCAAGAGGCTCTGGCTGCAGCCGGAGGACTGCTCACACAGCACAGCACAGAGCACACGTGAGTCACAAACACTGCCTCGAGAGCCCGCACACAACCACAGCTCCTGCACAGACACCAGGTAGATGGGAAAGATGCAAGGACCAAAATAAAAACTGCAAAAATGGCTTGACTGATAACTGCCAGATCGGTTCCCCTACAAGCATCCCCAGTTTGTGGCTTGTAATCTCGGAGAGGTTCAGTGGCTTGTCCTTATCATTTGCGACCACATTAGAATTCTGTGCCTTACTTCATGATTTGCTGTATAAATTAAAGAAAAACATTCTTTGACACACTCATCTCAACAGCAGTCAGCTGTGCAGTCCTTTTAATTACCTAAAGAAGTTATTTAAGGGCACTGAACAAACATGCAGGAATTGCCAAGTAACTGACAACAGAAAATATTGTTAAAAAAAGAACACAGCAGACAATAAGATCCAGACTTGGTTCTTGGGTCCTACGGGCTTCCAGGGGCAGTAAGGACCACAACAAGGCTGGCCAACACACTCCTTAGGCCCTAGACTAAGAACTGGGTTGGTCATAAAAGATCTTTATCAGCATTTTTCCACAGTCTCCCTCCCTTCTACAAAGACAAGTTTATGTGTAAACTTCCCTCCGAGAGTTTGTAAATGCAGCCTCAGACTCTCAAAACAGCATCTCTGGACGTTTATGAGTTAAGGATGGTCATCCAGGCCCTCCCACCCTCACAAAACCCAGCTGCATTGATGGCCTTACAAAACTCAAAGCACTGGAAGCACTTTAAACAGAGTTATTACTACTATGGAACTTGTTAGTTTACATAGTAAAACAAATTATTATTTAAAATGCTAAGGCTTATTTTGGTTTAATTATAAGGACACTCATAATTACCTGACTAATATTAATGATCTATTTGATTGACTTGCTTACTGAACAATAATTGGATGGGTTTCATTTCCTCTGCAATATTCATGTGCATCACTGTTTTTACAGAGAGAATAAATGTCAGACTATACCATATGGAGTGCAGTTTTTGTCTCCTGATAAAAGCACAAGTTGTTCATCCTTAAGTGTATTTTTTCCCTCCACACAGATGTCAAAAGACCAAGCAAGAAAAAAAAAAAATTACAAAGGTTGTTTTTGTACAGAGGAGTTGTTAATAGAACCATTTCACATTACATGCACAAGATTCACTAGGGGTTTTAGGCAAGAAATTAAATTGGGGGGAATGGAAAAACTGGAAAAACATTTTACCCAGAAGTTAATGATGTAATGCAGCAATACACATAAAAATTAATAGAACCAGAGGTTAGCACAGCAGAGGACATGAAGCAATTCAAACTGCATTCAAAGCAACTGCATGGCTTGGCCTGATGCCTAGTGCTTAGTATTTCACATTGCCATCCAGGAAATTCCCATCTCCCGTCCCTATTTGCCAGCTTGGAGGAACCAGGACCATACAGCCTCTGCAGAGGAAGGCACATTTTTTTGTCAGTTCTCAGCCTCCACAGTGGAGGATGGTTAAGAAACCAAATCCTTGGCTTCCATCAGGGATTACCAATCCACTGTTCCGACGGAAAGCACAGGCAGAAGGAATACAATCCCCACAAGCAGCACCACTAACATTTTCTGCGGAGAAACAGTGGAAGCAAAAGAAGTGGTCATTAGGCATGAAGAGCTGCAAAACCCCTGAGGCACAGAAAGGGACACCAAAACCTGCCCAGGCCAAAGAAATAGTGCTCAAATCCGAGCCATTGTTTTCCAGAGGCTGCAATTCAGTTAAGTCAATTATAATTTGCATCATCTATGAGGAAAAGCGTTTTCTTGAATCCAAAACTTTTGCCTCTGTGTATTTAACAGGGACAAGGAAGACAGAGAGTTGTCTTCAAGGGACTGCAAAAGAAAATAAGCTCATAGCAAGCAGCTCTTAAAAGCCAGCTGTGTGTATTAATGCTAAAACATTTTAAAACAAAACTGTTAAGCTGTTAAAGTTATTTAGAGGCTTGTAAGCATGCCCTACTCATGTAATAATAAATTCTAACCATTAAAATGGCCAAGCACTGAAAATAAATAACCATCTGGTTACCATCTTGCTCCCCCAAAAAATGCAGAAGAATAGAAGTGCAGAGCAAGCACAGAGCACAGGAAATGGCCATCAAAAATGTAGTGAAATCACCAAGTTCTACAAAAAACAAACTCATCTTAAACAGCAAATTCTATTTGGTTAGAAAAGATGCATTTAATTGCAACTTTTAGAGTAAACTGATGTTGTGTCCACAGTTGGATAACAAGTATTATGTTCACTGTGTCCAACAGTTATGTTTTTGATTCTGCTCAGATTTTTCTTAAGTTCAACCTGACTGAAATTAATACAATTCCAACTGGCTTCCTGCATGTCCAAGATAAAGACAGCACGCTACAATCACTCACAGCACTTACACTCTGCTGCTTCTCTAGGGAAACTAAATTAGCATCAGGAGTTGATACTGGATCCCTTTGGAAGGGATCTACCTGTGAAGTTGGTGGGAAGAGATTTCTCCACAGCAGGCTACCTGTTCCAAGGGATGGCAGAGGGCAGTTTCTGGAAGAGGCAAGAGATGAATCCCTCCAGCAAATGACTCGACCTTCATGCTGAGCACACTCCTACAGAGTAGCTGCTTCTAAAACAACACAAATTCCTGCCCTTCCTACCAGGGCTCAGGGTTAGGCTCCTTTACGTATTTGAGTGTAACAGTTCAGTAAAGATCCATCTCTTGACTATTGCTCACAGAATCCTTAATTGTTATGCTGATCCTTCCCCGGACCAGCTGCTGGTATTTTTTTTCCCCCCAAATACCATTTAAGCAGAATTAACAAAGGATGAGATTTGAGTATATAAAGGTCAGCTACAATATTACACGTCTGAATTACTTTCAGACAATTTCTGCTGAATAACAGATGACAAACCCTAGTTCTGCTACAGCAAGGGGGTTGAGGACTCCACTGAGGCACACTGTGTGCTCCCCCATACACCCACTTTTCCAATCCCAGAGCTCAACACCAAGTTTTTTGGCTCTACTGATGTGCTGTCCTTACTTAAACACCTGTCTGCCCCTCCAATCATGTAGAATCCACAACATCTCGGAAAGAGGAATGGAATGTCGTACCACTGTGCTGCCATGTCAACTCTAACTACAGCCATGACTCTGCCTCTCATGTAGCACTCACCACACAACTCCCAGAGAAGAAATGTCGTGGATTATATACAAACCACCACTACAGCACAGTCCTACCAGTACCTCTGCCCTCTTTCTTCCCCGCCTAACATCTGGCACCCATCACTGTTAGATCATAGAGCAGATGTGAAGGCAGGATTTGGAAAGCAGGACAAAACGAGAATCGCTCAATGCTCTCACAGGACACGTTAAGACATTTTACCCTGTGACTCCAGCACGCCAGCTTCTTACCTCCTGGAAGTTATGCTGCGTGAACTTGTCAGCAATCCTCAGCAGTTCACGGCACGAGTGAGTGTCAGCAAAAGCTCGGATGCCCAGGCAATTGGAAGGGTCCAACTGTCTCTTAAGAAACTCGCAGCAGGCCTCCTGGATCTCGGCCAGCTGGAGCAGGCAAGCAGCAGGCAACAAGGTCTGGACATTCCCCTCCTCTACAGTGATCTGAGAGGTGTAGGCAAAGTCGATCAGCAGTTCCATGGCCCTCTCATCGATGTCCCTGATCACGACCTCCGTCTGCCGGGACTCTGCCAGCTCCCCGGTGAACATGGCTCGGAAGTAGGGGCTGCAGGCCGACAGGATCACCCTGTGGGCGTAGATCTTCTTGGCGCCCACTACCAGCACCACATCGCACAGCTCCCGGTGCTTCCGGAGGAGGTTGATGACTTCCAACGTCTGCCGGGGGTGCTTGTCGGAGATGTAGGGCATGCGAGCGGGCTGCGGCACCCCCTCAGGCAGCTTGTTGGGATCTCCGAGTGTGCAGCGGCTGGTCACGTCCATTCCGGTCTCTCCTGGCCGAGTACTGGTACACCTGCAGCGCAGGAAATAATAGTACAGCACCATCATCAGCGAGCCCACCACTAACCAAGCACCAAAGCCCTGCAGCTCGCACTGGTTACAAGCACAGAACCACCAGAGCCCGCGAGTCCATGCTGGAAAACAGGCATGTGATCACACGAAAGAGGAATCCATCCCAAACCCAAGCTTGCTTGGAAGTAAACAAATGCCAACTTGCAACAGGCTTCTGTTTATAGCTATTTTTATACGCTTTCTATGACACACCGCTGTAATATCCAGCTGCACTCACATATTTATGAACTGAACCTTGCAGTAGCCTCGTGCGGTGGAGAGGCATTATCCTCATTTCAGAGAGTGACTCAAAGCTGACTTGGCCGCTGTCACTTGAGTTTTCTTTGACAGAGCTGGAGATGGATTTCCACTGCAAAGAATTCCAGCTCCATGATTTAACCAAAATTCTCTGTTCCTCTGCCTAGGTTTTTAATAGGGTTATAAAATAATCACTGTAGTATCTGAACACGCTAAACTGTCTCACAGACTTCAGTGATTTAAGATGGCCTGCAGCCTACCATGAGTATCTTTCAGGTTCACAGAACACCCATTTAATCATCACCTTTTCAGTCATTTTTGAATTATGGAGGCTCCTGCCTCAATCCACCTTCCCTGACACATTTCAAAAGAAAGTTAATCTTTCCCAAGAATGGCAAAGTAAGGACTATAGAAGGAAAACAGGATTATCAGACCAAATAGTTGAAACAGTCCAAGTGTCCACAACTATCAGCCTACCAAAAAAAAAAAGAAGATAATAAAGTCAGGATGGTAACTTTAGAGATGAAGAATGACTTAAGAATATATAAACTAAGTTAATGGCACAGAGTAGGAAAAATGTCCTAGCTAACTGATGTAATTCTTTATGGCAGTTCAGGTACCTTTCCTTTATCACTCACTGCTCTGAAGAGCTTAAGTGCAATATCCTTCTGTCCAGCAGCACAACCACGCTGACAGATCATGTTTCACAACATGTATGCCGTGACCCCAGAAAACAGGAGCCCTTAAGCAGTTCCGCAGGGATGAATCAAGACGGCACATCACTCACCTCACTTTGCACAAACATCTGCCTGCCCCCCAAGCTTCACTGCCAAGTCAACACTGAAATCAGTGCTAAACAAGAAGAATTAAACCGAGCTTTACTTTCAGCAATTAGACCAAATAAGCAGATCGGCGCTTACATGACTGAGATGCCGTTTTGCACGTTCCAAGCATGTGTGAATTTCTGCCACATATCATGCACAATTATTTGAAAAGATGCACCAGTGAAATATCAATTACTAGGAAAATAAAAGAAAATCAGGAAACTGTTGCCTCTTCCCATGCCAAAGGAAAACCATCACTTAGAGCAGTAAAAGTATACTGAGCGATGTATCAGAACACTGATGGTTTATGGCTGTTGGAGATCTACTGGAAGAACCAATACGTGCTGTCTCTACTACCAGCTTCTCTGGTGCACTGGCATATGTGAGCTGTCATTGCCTCACTTTGTTCATATTAAGAGTTAAAAGGAAATCTAGCTTGGCTTTGCCATTGCTCAAGGTATTTTGCAGCAGGCTTGAAGGAAAGAATTAAAAAAAAAATAACTCGCATCTTTTCCTCTCATTATTATGTCAAATGCACTTTCTAACCACAGGGAAACCAGTCCCTTTGCAGCAGCTCAAATTATGCACTTATATCTCAGCCTGTTTTCCCATTCCCTCCACACCCTCTCCTTGATCATCATATTCAGATGTTTCAGACCATTACCTCTCCCTCATATCTTAGTTACACAGATCCAGCTGGGCCTCCCCTCTGGGTTTTGCTGCTTGCTCCTGCTCAGCCTCTGCACCTTGAATGCCTTGGTTTTTTTATCCCTACTCCATCTTTTTTACATCCATCACCATTCTCCTTTCCTGACACCTCTGACAACTCCTTCTGCTGTTATACTGCTCTCGCTCTCCTCCACCCACTCTTGTCCCTCACAACCCAAATTCACCTTGTGGGTTTTGTCAACCCTTTTCAAAGCTCTGCCAAGTTCCTCACAAAAAATGCAGCTAAGACCCCTTAGCAGCAGCACACACAAACCAAGTTTAATGATACCTCTACAAAAATCTTGGCTGAAGATTAATTTACCTAATTGGCCTAATTTCACAGTCCTCAGCAGCCAAGGCCAGAGGGTAAATTATTTAAACCCTCCACCAAAAGACGGAAAAAGGTGGTGACAAACACTCCCCTGTAGAGTTTAGCTCTTGCTAAGCAAGCCAAGTGGATTTCATTGTGCAATAGGTGTTTGAAACTATGTCAAACCAAGCCCCCGTAGAGAGAAAAAGAGCTGGAAGGGACCCCTCAGGGTCATCAAAGTCCAACTCCTGGCCCTGCACAGGACACCACAACAATACCACCACATGCCCAAGAGTGTTGTCCAAAAGCTTCTTGAGCTCTGGCAGCATTGGGGCTGTGACCACTGCCCTGAGGAGCCTGTTCCAGTGCCCAACCACCCTTTGAGTGAAAAACCTTTTCCTGCTATCTAACCTAAACACTGTAGGTTTTCCTCAATGCCAAGAAGAGCCCTAAAGCAGATCTCAAAGAGCTTTTTAGGTTGGCACAGGATCCAAGTACGGAAACATTAGATTAAAGTTATGCTGCCACAAGGAATATAGAGGAGCCTGCCAACCCCACCACCTACGATTTCTTTAAGAGAAATAGGATACACCATCTTATGCCACATGATTACTTGGCCAGATTTAGGCAGCAGTCCTAGTCCTTCCTAGCCAGGACAGAACAGGATTTTTCTCCCTAAACGAGGCCCCGCTGAACACTTTAACTAACTGAAAAGGAGTCTGGTTAGTAAGAACTGGAGCCATTCCTGCACTGTTCCCATCAGCATTTATCTGATGTATCCATACTGTATCCAGCCTCCTTCCTCCAGGAGAGAAACTGCCAGTTAACGATTAAGGAAAACTGAATGGACGGAAAAAAGAGTAATAATCAAATCAGAACTCCTGATTCATCTATAACTTATCTCTGGGTAATGCAGAAGCCAGTGATCAATGGGTTTAGGAATTTCCACACTGGATCAACCCAGATGTTTGATGTTAAGCACCGTGGGTTGCTGTTATAAACAGGCACAGAAGTGTGAATTGAAAGGGCAATGTCTGATGGCATGTGCCTCCACGAGGATAATAATTCCACTGCATTATGTGTGCATTATGCATATATATGCATAGAGAATGAAATGATGAGTCAGTAGCTTAGAGGTGTGAAAGACAGAAGGCAGCGCTTGATTCTCACATGGCAGGGGAGCTGCCTCCCCCCGCACACAGAGCTCAGAGCTGCTCCTGGATACTCGAGGTGATTAAGGAGGGCTGAGGATCAGGCGGAAATGTGTATGCAAGGATAAAAGATTCACACCCAACTATGCAGATATTCTGGGATTAGCTTCCATCAAAATGCAGGGCTGGGGAAATCAGCAAATACAATGGGATTAAGAAAGGGCTGACAAAGGATCAGTTTTTGTAGCACACTGCTGAGAAGTACAAATGAGAGCACAGGCAGTCTGCAACACTAAGTCAGCTAAATAAACAGCCTGCTCTGCCTCCATTTTATTCTGCTATACCAGCTCTCAAAACTTCATTCATTAATACAAGCATCTACGAGATGTCTATCCATCCTTACAGCAGCTTCTTCCAAAATTCAAAAAAAAATACCTAATAACACGCCTACTGTCATAAAGCACTTTCAAATCTGCTCTTTTGCTTATGGTAATGTATGTCTTAGCACGAGACCACAAGCTGGCTTTAACACAGTCCAATAGAAAACAACAGGGTGAAACAACTTAAGGCCTGTGAAACAGAACAAGTCTCAGGCTAAAAACATCAACTGAAATCCAAAAATCATACATTGCTGTAGTGGGTTTCAGAAGCAAGAAATTTTAATAGCAAATAAAAATAATAAACCAAACCAGTAGCGATTTCTGTCAATGCCTTTGCTTTGAAGTTAACACATACATGAAAGAAATATTTCCTATACTCATTACAGAACTCCTAGAACAAAGACCTTTGATTTGCCCCAGCCTTTTGCAATAAAAGTCACCACAACACTGCCAACTAAGTACATGGAAATGCTTTATTGTGGCAATCACTCTAGGAATGAGTTAGCTAAAAGTTTGACTATTACTAAAAATACCATTGATTCACTTTCTTGCCTAGCCAGCGAGATACTTTCTCAATAAAGTTAAGCAAACAAACAGATAAACCTGCCTGCAATATTATTTTATTTTACAGAAAAGGAGAACATCTGGTGCACTTGTCCCTATTTACATTATTTAGTTTGATATTCACTGACCAAGCCCAGAAAACTGTTCCACCAATGAGGATGCCCACCGTCTGAAAGATGAGATCACTGCTGGAGTCTTCCAAAACCTTCCTGAGCCTTTTGTACTTTGTTTTGAGCAAGAGTTATGCCCAAGCAGCTGAATAACTTCCCGAGAGCCCCAAGCCCAAGATCAAGATCTGAAGCCTCCTTTCTATTGCAGGGTCTGCCTGCCTGTGCTCAAAGCCAGCTCTGATACAGCACTGCTGAAACCTGGGAAAAAGTTGCCAGGAAAAAGCTGGTGAGAAAGAGCTGGAAGAGCCTCCCCACTTTGCCTGGGGACTCCTCAAGCCCTCATGCCGATGTGAAAGACGTGTCTGCACCTGACTGTGCACCCCACTGATACTGACCTGCCGAACTGGCCTCCTGCCTTGATCTCTGTCCTTCCTCATCCCTACGGACCTGCCTGAGGTGTATGGGACTTCTGGCTGACCCTGACCATCAGATCTGCTCTGCCCTTGTTTGGGTGCTGCAGGACCATGCCCTTCACTGGAGAGGTTCCCCCTGCCTTGCTTTTACCTTCAGCAAAACCGCATTCTCTTGCTTCCCTGACAGTGAGCAAGAACAGCCTGTCCCAACTATCCCTTCATTCCTAATGCAAGACACATCCTGTCTGAGCATCAAAGCATCTTCTCAACTATAATCTTGACAGGAATAGCTGGAATTCCTTGTCTGTTCAAACTGTACTTCCCACCCTCTGAGTGCATTTGATAATTTGATACCATTTCTCTGTATTTACTAACCGAGTACCGACCAAGCCTCCCTCCCCTCTCTTTGCAGTTCTTCCCAGGACGCTCCCATGGCATGTTAAATGGCTGCAGAGCCTGGAGTAAAAGGATAAAAGGAAGTGCTCTGCCATCTGCTTAGCTGGACTTCATAGGAAGATCTGAGCCCGATATCCAATCAGAAACCTTTTATCATTTTCTGCTAAGACACACAGCAAAAGAACAAACAGAAATTTTAACAATCCACACAGAGGCCCTTTCAAGAAATGAATATAGAGCATGATACATAGATGAGCTTGTTAGGCCAGACTGCAGCAATAATAAAAAAACAACCCTCTACTTCTTCAGCCCTGTGCTGTTACCCACCACTAAAACTACCCAGTTTGAGTGACAAACAGAACTTCCACTATAGCAACTACAAGGCCACAAACCCAGAAAAAGATATACGAACTTCAGCACTTCGAATCTCTGCCTCAAAGCGACACGCAGAAAACAAGAGCCATGAAAATAAATCCAGAACCACAATTTCTCCACAAGGAAAGTGAAAAATAGAGTACAAGAAAACAAGAACACAAGCCAAGCCAGTCACCAGTTTTATGCCACTCTGCAAAAACATTTTGAAAAACGGAGCACAGTGTAAGAACCCGAAAAGCTGTGGGTTTATGCTGGTTAAGATTTAACCAATCTCCATGGTAGAAGGCTAAGATAGACGAGAACTCCTCTGCTATTTAATCTGTCTCGGAGAAAAAGGAATTCACTCTAAAATCCACATACAGCCTCTCATTGCCTAAACCATATTTCTTATCTTGGCAAAAGTACTGAACAATACACAGCCCCAGCGATGCCCGTATCACGTCCCAGGGTTTACTCATTAGCTTAACCGCAGCACAGTCCTTTTTTGTAGCGCTTGAGAAGTTCATTTAATTAAACAACATCATGCCATTCTTCAAGGGCTTAAATGAGTATTTATTTATTTCTTCTTTACACAAAACTGAGGCTAATGGTTTCTGTAGCTAAAAATGTTCTGTATATTCATCTATGGTTAAAATTCTTGCCCTTTCTTATGTGACTGTTTACAGAACTATTCATAATAAAGTTTTCCTTCTTTTGACATCCCGAAGAGCATAGACTAAGCAAAATGCATGAGCTGACTTAATTCAGAGGAGAAGAGCTTCAGCTTCCATACAGCCTGTATCACGTACAGAAATATATTTGCTGTTAAGTTCTGTCGTGGGATTGCCATCAAATAGCAAAATGCAACTAGAACTAGCAGGAAACCCTGTTTGCAAACCTGTCATCGTGCTGAATTACTGTGACAACTTTTTTTCTATATGACAGATAATGTTTCTGACATAACCACAGCAAGAACTCCCCTGAATTAAACTTCAGCTGCATCTCCAGCTCATTAGAGCTGAGGCAGCTGGCATCCATAATTAGAAAAGGAAATCTCTTTTTCACCCAAGACCTCACCCATCAAACTTCCTCACTTAAGGGAAAAATAATGCCCCTTGAAAATCAAGTTTAAATTTATTCCCAGGCAGATTATTTTATACAATTTGAATACCTAAGTAGTTAAACACTGAATTTTAAATATGACAGTAAATGGGGGAAGTAAAGAGGGGAGAGGTAGAGAATTACTATAACTTGTGTTCCGTACTCTGGTCTTGTAAATATTGAAAACTAAATCCATTAAAGTAAGGACTAAGGAGGAATGATTAATATTCTAGTTCTCCCAGTCAGGTTTAAAAAAAAAAAAAAAAGCTAAAACTAAACAACATTTTACAGTCTAAGCACACATGAAACCAACTCAAATCGTTTCTCCTGCCTGGATAAGAGGAGAACAAAATTGTTTTTTGTATCTTACCTGCGCATTGGCTTTCCGTCCATGCACCGTGAAGAGAAACCTTCACCCTACACTTCAAGACCTGATCCAAAAGAAAAAAAAAATAGAGAAAAAAATAAAGGTGATTCCTGAAGCAAGAGAACCCTTTGTCCCCCCTCTTCAGTCTGCCTCTAAGGCAACAGAACTGACCACAACCACATACTAGTGTGCCTTCAAGCTCTTATCCAGCTATAAATTCACAGCCCAGATTAATGATGCCCAGATTGCAGAGAATAAAGCAGAAGAAAACATCATCAACATTAAAAATATTTTCACCACAGCTGCATAGATTCCTGAGGCAAATGGAACACACACATCATAAAGTCAGCAAACTGCCTGCCTCCCTGAATCCTTAAAACTGTTCCACCAAAGGAAAAAAATATCTGGAGTAACAGGGTGCTCACTCTCAGTCCTTGCTCAGAGCCCGGAGGTATCTCTCCCTCACACATTTAGCAGAGATTTAAGGCAGGCTGGCACCTAATAAACAGCACAGCGCTGCTCACCAGCTACGCTGCAGAGCCAGAAATTGATAGAAGATAAAACTTGTGTCTGGAAACTGAAGATAACTGTGCCCCAGAGGTAAGAGGGATGCTAATAATGGTACTACATCTGCAAAGATTAATGATGCTGCCTGATGCTTGCTACACTTCCACTCCAAATATTCATTTTCTGAGACCAATAACAGTTGCAAGCTGCACAGGCCTTTCATATTCAACCACTAACTTCTAATTCTAATGTAAATTAACCCTTTTTACCAGGGCATCACTTGTCCCAATTTAATTTTTAAGGACTATTCACTGAGGAATATATTTAATTCAATTATTATTTAAAGCAATAAGCCTAAATTTTTTTCGAAAAAAAAAATTATCTATTAACAGAACAGAAAAGTGTTCTCCTTCCACGCTGACAATCACAAATCTCTTCCCATCCAAAAGGGTAGTGAGATGGGAAACCACTCAAACTGTGGGAAGAGCAATGACAGCATGAGAATGAATTAACTCTTAAAACAAACAGATGTAGAAGTCAAAAGGGAAAAGCTTGAATTTAGGAAGAATAAGAGCATATTTGGAAGACAGAGATTGTCAGATTGGAGCCCTGCATCCAGCAATACACGAAATATTTTTGGCACAATTTAAATTAAACTACAAAATGATTATAGCTCTACCTGGCTATGTGAAGAAGCACCTTATTTTACGTGCAACATTGTCTAGATACTTTATCCCCGACACACAACCCGAGCGGTTTGCCAGATAATGAAGAATAAACTCAGACCTGCTTGCCTGCCGCACTTGCAAATTACTCAGGTTCACACTTCCCCGCAAATAAAGAAAGGCAATTCCTCCCGGTTAGGGCACCGCATACCAATTTAAACTCGAGCTCTGGCTGCCCAGCCAGACAAAGGGGCTCCCGGAGAACCGAGCCTCCCCGCATTCCAGCGCGGGGAACACCGCTGGAAGCGGCCCCTCCGCACCATCCCGTGTGCGAGCACGTAGGGATCCGAGCACTTTGCACGTGGAAGGGAACGCGGACCAGGCTATTCTTAGCCCCCAGATTGCATCAGATGTAATCCCCTTAAACCCACATCAAAACTCCGAGGGGGGGGCGGAGGGGGAAGGAAGAAACAACGCCAACAAGAAAAAGCCATTTAAGCCGAGGTCCTTGGTGCTGCCCGCGGGGCAGCAACAGGCTGGAGAGGCGGTTTTCCCAGCACAGCCTGGCCCGGGCTCTCGGGCTCCCGCGGGCACCACTCGGCTCTCGGCGGCAGCTCCTGCGGGACGGGCACCGGTGCCCGGGGCAGGGGCAGAAGCGGAGCCGACCCGCAGCGCGCAGGGACTGGAGCCCGGCCCAAGGACTGAGCCGAGCCCAGCAAAGCCGAGCCGAGCCGCGTAGCCCCGCATGCCTCCCCGGCGCCGGGAGAGGCGGGCCCAGGCCGCGGCGGTACCCAGGCAGGGCAGCGCTGCCGAGCCCACCCCGCCGCGCCCCGGCGGGGGCAGCCCCGCAGAGCCGCCGCTGCCCGGCCGGCCCCACACAGCCCCGCCCGCTCCCCCGCCCGCTCGCTCACGCCGAGCTCGGAGTCGTCGTCGTCGTCGCCGCCGCGGCCGATCCGCGGTCCCACAGAGCCGTCCGAGCGCGTCCTCAGCCGCAGGAAGCGGCCCGGCCCCCGCCAACCGCCGCCGGTGCGCGCCGGGCCGCGCCCGCCCCTTCCGCCCCCGGAGCCGCCCGCCCGCCCGCCGCAGCCCAGCGCTCACCGTCCCCGCACGGCCCGGCCCCCGGGGCGGGCACGGCCCCTCAGCGCCCACGCAGCGCTCCGGAGCCGGGGTGGGGCAAAAGAGCGGTGCGGTGCGCCCGGCCAGCCGCCTGCCTCGCCAGCCCTGCCCCACCGTCCCACGTGGTGACCAGGGACCGTGTCCTGGAGCCCGTGTACCCGTGAGTGGCAGACGCCGCTGCGTGCACGGGGCCCCGTGGGGTGATTGTCGTGGAATCGCGGAATCGTCAAGGTTGGGAAGAGACCTGTAAAGATCGAATGAGCCCAGCCATCAACCCAGTGCTGCCACTGTAACCCCTAAACCGCGAAGCCACATCGCCCAGCTACAGATGCCTCTTAAACACCTCCAGGGATGGTGACTCCAATGTCTGACCACCCTAACGGTGAAAAATTATAACCTACTGTGGTCCCTTCCAAGCTTAACCATTCAGTGATTCTGTGCAGGGCCAGGAGTTGGACTTTGATGGGATCCTTCCCACCCAGGATATTCTATCATTCTGTGAACTGTTTTGCCAGTGGTGGTTGCTCCTCATGTCCCTGTAACATGTGCCCAGTGCCTGCCCATGACCCGCTGGGTTCCTTAGTCCACTGAATCTCCAAAACTGGTGTGATTGCGAGCATTGCACCTGGAGGAGGGATAGTGACTTGGAAGTAGGTGGCTAACAATGCCAATTGGGTGCCCATGTCCTGGCGGGAATCCCAGGGAGTGCCTGGGGGAGGAAGATTTCAATATTCTCCTCCAAGACACAGCACTGGGAGCAGCAGGCTTCAAAAAGTACCTACCCAGGTCCTCTCCAGCTCCGCCTCAGCCTTCATCGCCCACTGGCCGGGCAGAAAGAGCCTTTGTGACATCCAGGAGCCTTGTGCCACAGCAGCCCATGACGACACATCGGCTACACCTGCAAACACATTCCAGCGGGGCAATCCCTCAATCCAGGGGGTCGCTGCCTGAGCTCTGCTCTGGGTGACAGCATGTTGAGGTTGTTTCCTCAGTGAGACCACGATGAGGCTCCTCCTGGTGCTGTCCCTGGCCGTGGTGCTCTGGAGCCTGTCTCTGTCACCCACTGATGCCAAGAGGGTCAGGGTCAAGACAGCCATCATTCCTAAGGGCCCAAAAAAACCATCCCTTGTCACAGAGAGTGTGGCCTCTGACCTTCCCTACCCTCTGGGCCATCTTTGGGTCTACCTTGCCCGGGTGGACATGCCCTGGCTGCTCTGCAGGAACTGGCAAATCATGGGGGTGCTTGGTGTGCCTTTTATTATACTTGGCATCTGCAGAAATGTGCGGGAACCCTCGAGTCAGGCGAGAAATCAAGAACAGACACACAGGGAAGGACAGGCAAGCAATCAAGAGCAGTCACACAGGAAGAGACAGGCTCAGCAGAGCGTGCAGGTAAGCACAACAACCTTGGCCAATAAGGCTGGCTATGAAAACCCAGCATGGGCAAGAGAGCCTCAGCAAGGGGGCCTCTGCCTCTTCCCCAGGGACATACCAAGTCGCAGGTCTGACACTCTCTGGAAGCCCCCAGCATGACATGGAACCTGCCAGAGGTTTCCTCAGCCCAGCATGCTGCCTGGAGCAGTCCTGTTAAGGCTGGAGTGGTCCCAGAGGAAGACAAGGCCAACAGGACCCTTCTTAGGCCCCCAAGCTCCTGTGCACTTCATTGTGCCCCTGGCTCTGTCACTTCCAGGGAAGAGAACAGGCAGCTTCACAGTCCATGAGGACAGACCGCCGGGCAAAACGCACCATTAATCATGCCCAATTTTACAAGATGATGAGGGCTGAAACCATGCTGCTGCTCAGGACCACCAGGTCTGTGCATCGCCTTTACCTGCAACAGCTCCGGCACGAGTACTACCAAAGGAAGGCAGCAGAAAGATTTCAGAAGAGCAGGACCTTCCCCAGATCCCCTGGTCCCAGCTGCAGCTAGAGCCAGTGCTTGGCCATTGGCAATGGGAACAGCAGAACAGGTGAGCACTGCTGTTCATGCAGGGTGGGATCTGAGGCAGGAGAGAATTGCCACCCACGTCTGTGACGTGCCCCACGGGTACCACATGCCCAAGGGGAGGGACTCCCATTCTGTCGGGGTGTCCACATCCCCACAAGGTTCCTGGCCGGTGTCTGTGTCCCACCGAGGTGCCTGGGGGGTGTGCCCGTGTCCCTGTAAGGTGTGTGGTGGTGGCTCCCTGTGTCCCTGCAAGGTGGCAGGGGCCAGTGGGTTCCTCAGTCCTTAGAATGAGCGCTGGAGAACAGAGGGTGCCGCTCCTACCTATGGTCACTGCCAGAGGCCAGCAGCAAGTTCTTCCCCACAGCAATCCTGTCCCCACCTTGGCATCAGCACATCACCATATTCTCACCTGAGGGGAAACTGCACGGGGGAAATTGCAGGGGCAGCTGTGCTGGAAGTGCTCCCGAGGAGGGACAGGGACATGGCTCATAGCTGAGCTCAGGGACCCCAGAGAAGGGATAAAGCTGGCACCAGCTCCTCTCCCAGCCAAATGGGGAGATTTAAAGACCTTTAAAATTCACAGACTGGCTGAGGTCAGAAGGTTCCTGGCAGCTCTTTGTCCAAGCCCATGCTCAGGCAGGGATGTCTCAAGCAGTTACCCATTAACTTCTCCAGGTGGCTCTTAATAACTCCAAGAATAGAGACTACACACCACCTCTGGACAAGCTGTGCCGATGCTCACAGTTAAGTGTTTCCTGATATTCTTAGGGAACACCTTACTTTTCAGTTTGTATCCATGTCCTATCACTGGTTCTGTCATTTCACCCTCCCTCCTACTATTTATATACATTAATGTTTCCCCTCAGCCTCCTCCAGCCTGAACAATCCCACAACTCTTAATCTTTCCTCATAGGAGAGATTGTTCCATCCCTTCCTGACCCTTCGATGGACTCTCACCAGTAGCTCCTGTACTGAAGAGCCCAGAACTGGACACAGCACTCAGGTGTGGCCTCACCCAAGCAGAGAGGAAGGATCACCTCCCTCAGCATGCTGGCAACACTTCTCCTAAAGAAGCCCGGGATACCCTTAGCTCTCTCCTGCAAGGGCACATTGCAGGCTAAGCACGATCCTCACAGCCTTCTCTGAAGACCATGTGACCCCAGCACATAGTGGTGCATGTGATTGTTCTTTCCAAAGTGCAGGACTTTGCAATCCCCTTTGTTGAGCATCAAAAAGTTTCTGTCAACCCATTTCTCCATCATGCCGATCTTCAGTAAAGATGTTGAATGGGTAGGCCTATTATGGACCGCTGCCTGCACCACTGGACACCACGCTGTTGGGACCAGCCCTTCAGCGCATTTTCCATCTATTTCTGGGCTCATCCAGCCCCATACATCAACAGCTTCACTATGAGGACATTACAGGGGACGATATCAAAAGCCTGGCACAAGTCAGGTAGACAACATGCTCTGCTCTTCCTTTATCTACCAAGCCAGTCATTTCTTCTGAGAGATCAAATCATTTAGGCAGGACTTCCCCTTTGTGAATCCATGATGACATCACGTGGTTCACCACAAAATTATTTACTCCTTTGCTAAAAGCAGCCTCACCTTTGCCTGACACCCCTAATGCCACCCTGCCTGACATCTCTTCAAGATATTTACTGGGAAGGGCTGAACTTGTCTACCTCCCTGCTGTCCTGAGAGCACAGAGGGGTTCCACCTCTGGAAAAGCACCCCCAGGCACACGTGCACCAGGACTTGCTGAGAGATGGTTTGCCAGCCAAAAGCCAGAGCCACTGCCTCCAGCATCTCCTCCTTCACCAAAGCAGCAGTCTGTGCCAGCAGCTTTGCTCCAGGTTTGGCTTTGACTTGCACAACTAGGACAACATTGGCCAAGTCTGCTTGCATACTGGGACCGCAGTCAGCAACATGCAGTACCGAACAGGAGACAGTAAACACCAGCATCCATTTATTCTGTCTTTATTCACTGGGGAGAGGAGGCCACTATTTTATCTTGAGGGCTGTCTCAGCTGCTTAAGCCCCGAGAAGCCTCACCAGCTCTGAAGGGCTGTGATCCCTCTTACCTATGGCAATACGTAGAATTAGCCAGTGCCAGCCCTTGGTTATGGCAAAACTGACATGCCCTGGGGAGTGCTGGAAGACAGGGAGGGGGATAAACGGCTGTCATGTGCCCCCATCACAGACCAAGAGGGAACCAGTTTGCCCCAGCACCAGTCACTGGGGGGAGGTGTTTCCTTTCTTGTTCTCTGCACAAAGACCAAAGCTTGTCTCAGCTCACATCGGGCTGGAGAGCAACAGAGCATGGTCTAAGGTCTTAAACTTTTAACCATACAGGGCAAAACCAATGCTCTGGAAAGACTGAAAAGCATCAGAGAGAGCAAGTCTAAGGATTCCTGCTCCAGGCTTTGTGGGATGGATGCCTACGAAATTTTGTTTCCAGTAGGGGAAGTCAGTCTCAGCAGCGTGGGGCAAAGCATCTTTCCTGGCTACTATCCCACTACATTCCCTCCACTGGCTCCCATCAAGCCCCTGCCCCAGCCCAACTGCCTCACCTTGCTCCCCAGGAATCCCCAGATCTGCAGTACAACCCCACCAGGACCCCCAGACACAGCTGTTGTAACACTACTAGATTAGGGGAGACTAATTCTCACCCTGGGCATGGGAGGGCATGCCTGAGGAGCCCTCGTGACAACACACTGCAGGGACAGTGTTGTCCGCCAGGACACAATGAAAGGGACACAGGTCAGGCAACAGCATGCTCTGAAAAAGGGGAGCAGAGGACTTCTGGGCACCTAGTTTCACACTACCCCGCTGGGGCCTGTGGATGGCACGTAGGGATGCCAAGCAGCCCCAGGATCACCACACACTGCTGAGCCCCTCAGCTGCCTTTTAAAATTTATTGCCCCTTTCTTTTAGAAGAGGCTGGTTCCCCCTTAGCTGTATGTTGCAGACCCCAAATCCCCCACACAAGAGCAGAACTGTTCCAAGTGAGGAATGACAGGCACACCTCTGGCCTGCAAGCCAACCTCCAGGCTCAGGGCTGAGCTCAGGGCTCAAGTAGCAGTGCCACCACAGACACAGCCACCAAACTCCAGAGGGACTGAAGGTATCCACATGTTGCCCCACACACGCCAGGCAGTGAGACTGCTAAAAATGCAAGATGCCGTGTCTGTATAACCACACTCCCAGCACCACCTACCAGGTCCTTGCTGGAGGGTGTGACAGCAGCCCCACACCTGTGGTGGGAAGGGGTTTCAGAACAGAATGGGATGCTGTTGAGGGACTGAGACTTGGACGTGCAGAGACAGTCAGGGAGAGGTATTTCCACATCATTCTCCTAGCTCCCAGTGGCACTGGCCAGCGCCTGCCAGCCAACACCAGGTTGCTCAGACCTGAACAGCAATGGCAGGAGGAGGCAACCCCGGCCCAGCTGTAACACTCATGCCACACTCAAGCTGCCACCTCCACCACAGCCCAGTCCTTCTCTGGGATGGAGACCTGCGATACTAAAGCCGTTGCTGAATGCTCTTCCTTCCTTACCGACTTTGAGGTGAAGATCCTCACACCAACATCTCCCAGGACCCTCTTCCCGGCCCCTCCCAGCAACACTGAGCCTGGCAAATACCTTACGGCAAGTAATTTTACGTTATTCTGCATTTACACAAAAATAGAGCAATTCTATATTTATAGAGATTTATAGCCGGTTCCGTGATGGAGGAGTTATTGAGCAAGGCCAGGAGCTGTGGGCGGTCCGGGCTCCTGAGCAAACCGGCTGCTTCTCATTTGGCATTTCAAACATACAAAATTAAAGGCATTTGTCTCCGTCTGGTTTCTTAAATAGATAAGGGGGTATCGAACGGACAGTATGTACAGAGGGGCAGTGGCAGGGCCTGGTGCCCGGCCCGCAGCCTCACACCTCCGCCCGTCAGTGAGGCCGGCTGCTGGACTCTGAGGGCTGCCGCTGGCGCGGAGGAGTGTAGCCGTTCAGGTAGCCGTTGCTCTGGCGTTTGCTGAGTCCTCCATTAAGAATGTCCTGGATGTGCTGCACTATCAGGTTTATGGCCACTGTGAGCAAAAGGGGGAGAGGTTGCATTAGGATCGCTGCAAATCAACCAGAGCCAAGGCAGACCTGATGCCCCTGCTGTTTCTCTCCTGCTCCCGATCCCCTTCCATCCCAACCTTGTGGGGAGGAGCTGCCCCGCTGGGACTTCATCCCGCTGCCCCAGCTGAGCCTGGCACTCAAGCCAGTATGGTCAGGCTGATTCCAGACCTGGCTGACCCAGGGGCTGTCAGGCCTTGAAAAAGTGCATTCCCCTTTATGTGTGATGAAACAGGAGTTTGCTTGGAAGCACTGCATATAGATGGGCTCTTAGACTTGATCAGAGAAACACAAACTCCCAGTCGCCAATGCTCCAGGCAGGAGCAAAGGGAACAGGTTCATCTCAGCACAGTGTGGTAACAGCACTCTCTCGGGCTACAGCGGCCTGGGTCACCTCCATGGCAGGTCCTGCTACCTCCCACGTAATTCCACTACAAGAGCAACAGCTCAAAGCCACCTGCCTGGGGTCTGGGTCCACTTACCTTCGTTATCTGCTCCTCTGGGAATGATCACGTCAGCATACTTCTTGGTCTGGGAGGAGAGAGAGAGCACTGCGTTACAGGGAAACTGGAGAGACACCAGGCTGGGGCATCGTCCCTGCTTCCTGGGACAGGTCCTTGCCCTCCCCTGGCCAAACCCAAACCCACTGATTGCTGATAATACATTTTGGATGCTCTCTTTTTTATTCTGCTCTGTGTTTTGAGGGTCATGCTTTGTGCCCTGACTCCATTTTCATGAGCTCATACAGACGCCAGTAAGAGGCACTCTAACAAAACCTGGAATTAAGAAGCCTCATGATCACAAGACTCCAGCATCTGATGCTTTTGGGAACATCCTTCCCACTGAATCCATCCGGACTTGTCTGAGCACAGCCACATGATCTGCTTGGAAAGGGGGGAGAATTCCCTACCACCTCACTTGCAAAGAAAAGTGTGATTCAGGACACCAGTTCTGACCTAGTTTCACCTGCAGGTGCCAGTCTCAGTTTGCTCTCCCATTTGTGTCAGTTTTAGAGCTGACAGCCAAGCTCCGCCAAGCCAGCTGGGTGATGGGTATCACCTGACACCTCCAAGTGCTTCCAGACATATCAAAAGTCACCAGGATATGTTGGACCGTTTCAGCGCTGGACTACTTGGCCCAGAGCTGGTTTAGGAGTCAAATAACAGCAACAGTGGGTGCTGAGTCTGCTCGATATCTGCATGCAATTGCTCTGCAGCTGAGCACCAGGACGGCAGTGGGAGCAGACCACTGCAAAGCTGTGGGTAGGGACAAAGCAGTTTTCTGCCCTCCCTGTTTCACGTTTCATCCTCCTACAGACTCCTCATCAGAAGACACTGATGAAGCAGCATCTGCTGCTTTACCTTGCTGGGGATTGCAAGGAGAGGAGCCTTGCAAGCTGGACCTGCCTTTTTGGAAAAAGCCTTTCTGGAATGACACTGGATTTGGTTCCCAGAGCCACAACTGAGAAAAGGGAGCTGCACATGAGCCAGGAAAAGATCTTGTAGCACAGAAAGAATCAGCCTCTCTTATGGGAAAGGGCAGAGCTGGCCAGGCTGGCACAGAGGTGCTCCCGAGGCTGGAGGCACAGGTTTAATTCCTGCCTCTGGAGCTGGCCAGCAGTTCCCAGTTTGCGGGACTCTACTGACTCAATTCCTTCAGACTAAGAAAAAAATTCCTCACGTAACTTCCTCATACAACATCTGCCTGAAGAGCCTTGAGAACAAAGGCACAGGGTCCTTTCCATGAGAGCCAGGAAAGGTGTACAATGGCTAATCCTGCAAACCTGCTTATTTCCCCTGCAAGTTCTGCAGGACTGGTCTCCCACATGCACAGTCCCTGTCTGCTAAGGAGTCTTGCCTCCAGTAACAGCTCCGAAAACAGCTTCCTTTCTCCAGGCAGACATTGCAACCCTGGCCCACCCTGGCCACTCACCAGTCAGGAAATGCAACCTGCAAGGCCACCTCCCATGGCAGGGAGAGAAGCAGCAGCTTCCCTGCTCTCCCAAGCATGAAGCCAGCAGCACTGGAGGGTGGAAAGGGCAGGCAGGACAGTCCAAAAGAGGAGGCAGCCACAGCAGACACTGCCTGGGGGCAGTGATCTCCCCTTCCCTGGCTAAATGCAGCCAAGAATCTTCCCTCCCAGGCTGGCATCTGCTGAGCTGCCCAGTGGTTTGTCAGGCCCTGTGCAGGGAGGGGTTTCTCTTGTCATGTCGCCTTCCCCTAGGGGAATGGTGATCTCACCAGGAAGGCAGTGGCTGTGTAAATAGTCCCCATCTTGCCCTGCCCTGGCCAGTGCTGGCAGCCCCATTTTGGCCAGAACTTGCAGGGAAGGAGCAAGGCACAGAAGGCTGATTGGAGCTCTGGGCACAAAATGCTCCTGTCTGAGGAGCTAGGCAGGGTATGAGGTGTTTGTGGCAGACTCCTGTGGGTGTCACTCCCCTGACTTACCGGCAAACAGAACTCCTCGAAGGCAGGCTTGACGAAGGTGATGTACTGAGATAAGATCTGCTCGAGGTCCCTGCCTCGCTCGCTGATGTCTCGTAGCACTGTGGGGAAGATATAAGGCACAGTCAGGAGCTGAGACACAAATCTCTGCACCTTCCTTCCCTTCAGTACAGCCTTCAGCCAGCCACTCAGCTCTTTTGCCCGAGGTCTCTGTTCCTGGAAGCTGTTGCCCACGTGTCTGAGCATATCCCAGCCCAGCTACACTGTTTTAACCCACTTCCAAGCCTTCCTGGGAGCCAAGGGCTGGCTGACCTGACCAAGGGCTTTCCTTGGCCTCCCACCCTTCTCAGCTCCACAGGCACATTCCAGTCGTAACCACTGTCACCCCAGTCCTGACTATTCCCAGCCTCAGCCCTTGCCTCCCTCCTGTGGCTCTGCCTTGCTGGACTGGACATTCTCTCAATCATCCCAGTGCAGACATGTCCAAAGAACAGAAAAGCAGTGAGATTGACCCACAGACACACTAAGGCCCAGTTTAACTCAGGTCTACAGAGGCAAGGACAGTGAAACTTAACTCCCTGCCCAGCTCGGCCAGGCTCCTAGTGCTATCCTCCGCCAAGTGGGTCAGGAAGGCAAAGGAGTCTGAAGGTGTGCTTGGAGGAGGCGAGCTCAGGAGGAAGCTTCAAGGCAGGGGAGCAAGCTGGCCTCCTGCTTGTTCTGCCACTTGGGCCTTACACCCTGTTCACATGAGCTCTTTATTCAGGCCACTGCCATCTCTGCTCTGAAGCCACTTCAGTGTGGACAAGTGCCCCAGTTCAGCAGGAATTCAATCCGTGGGGAGGAGCCAAAACAGCCCTGTGGCCGAGCAGAAGGCTCTTGGCTCTCCCCAGGGGGCTATCTGGCTTTCCCCCAGCATGCTAGTGCCTGGCACTGGGCTGGGAGAAAACCTTCCCTCATGTCCCAAGCAGAGCCAAAGCACAGCGCTGCCAGCCTGTGTGACCTGCTGGGCAGCCGCTGCCCGTGTGCTCGCAGGGCCAGGACAGTGCTGGTCTGGCACCATCCCCACGTCTCTTTGCCCTTGGCCAGCAGCTTCACAGCGTGCCCTTTCACAGCCCTGCACAGGGGAAGTGATGGGGGGGAAAAAGGATGTGTGCCAGCTCCCTGCCTGCTCCCGAGAGCAGGAGCAAGCCCCAGCTCAAACAATACAGAAGAAGAGGCAGGGAAAATAAACACAGGCTTCTGTGTTACAGCTCCCACACCCTATTTGTTGTCTGTGCCAGGGCAGGGAAGGGTGTCCTTACAGCATGTGCAGGAAGCCCAAGAGCTGCCCCAAGGTGCAGGGGCTGGTCCTAACAAGGCAAAGCTCTCCTTCCTGATCCCAGGGCAGGTACCTGGCCCCCAAGCAACAGGTCCCAACAACCCAGGCTAAGACCATGCACCCAATCTGGAGGGGTCACTCACACGGCAGGCAAATATTCCAAGGACAGATCGGCACCCATTTGAAGCCAGCAGGCATCACTCAAATCAGGCCCAAAACACGCATGTGACACCAGACCTTTGTTTTACAGAAACTGGCCAAGGACAGGGCAGCGAGGGATCTCAGCCAGAGTCAGGTCCCTGATCCCCATAGGTCAGGCTGTTTGAGGTACCTCACAGACCTTGCCCCTTGCACTCTGCTAGCAGCATTATTCTTGGGAGAGGGGCCGGGATGGGGACAGTGCGAGTTGCACATACTGAACCCCAGCACTATCGATCAACTGAGCTGTCAGCAGGGTTTCCAGGAACCTCACTTCCTGCTGCTGCCCAGCTGAAAAGCCCATTGATGCAACCCTTTTGGACTTCTGGGACAGAAAGATGACTCAGGGCCACATCACAGTGCAGGATCCCAACTTTTGCTACGAGCTCCCTCCAGCTACGTTCCAGGGGCATGATTATACCTTTGGCACCTCACACACAGGCTATCCTTTCCCAGAAATGCCAGGGAGACATACAGTAAACAGATTTAATGCTGCAGTGGTCCTACCACCTGCTGACAGCAGACAAATAGCCAGATTCCTACCAGGAGAACGTGAAGTTGCCCTAACTAGGAGACACCAGCACCTCAGTCAGCAAAGCTGCTCCTCTGCAAGCAATTCATGGTGAGTGGAAGAAGTTCAAGCCTTACAAGAAGCAGTGTGAGATCAGCAGTGACCCGACCTGAGCTGGCTTTAGTGCCCACTAACTCCACACAACACACCTCTCCTGTCCTGAGTGACCACCAGAACAGATGGAGACCAAAGTCACAGACTAAATTAACTCAGTGGACACTTGAGGCACATTTACAGGGATGGTCCATAACGTGGGGAATGATATCTGTGTGTTATATCAAAGGATGGAAAGAAGGGTGGTGGGTAAAGAGAATGTATTGGAAGAGTGTGGGACCTGAGCGTGAAGGAAGTGGTTTGGAATAAGAGGTGAAGAATGTGCTGGTTTTGGCTGGGATAGAGTTAATTCTCTTCACATTGGCTGGTAGGGGGCTGTGTTTCATATTTGTGCTAAAAACAGTGTTAGTAACACAGAGATGTTTTTGTTGTTGCTGAGCAGTGCTTACACAGATCCAATGCCTTTTCTGCTCCTCACCCCACCCCAGCAGCAAGGGGAGGGGACACAGCTGGGACAGCTGACCACAACTGACCCAAGGGATGTTCCATACTGTATATAGGATGACATAAAGCTGAAGGAAGGAGGAGGGAGGGGAGACATTCAAAGTGATGGCGTTTGTCTTCCCACATAACCGTTAGACATGATGGAGCCCTGCTTTCCCTGGGATGGCTGAACACCTGCCTGCCCACGGGAAGTGGTGATAAATTCCCCATCTTGCTTTGCTTGTGGCTTTTGCTTTACCTCCTGAACTGTCTTCATGTCAACCCACAAGTTTTCTCACTTTTGCCCTTCTGATTCTCTTCCTCATCCCACCGGGGGAGGTTGGGTGAGCAGCTGCGTGGGGCTGAGCTGCTGGCTGGGGTTACACCACGACAACGTGCTGCCCTGTGGCTGGGTGTGGATCCAGGCTTCTGCACAACAGTCTGTTTAAAGGGATTAAGGCTCACATTTTGGGACCTTGCAAGTGCGTATCTGTGACCTGCTAGTACATCTCCCTGCACTGACTGTGCTGTCACCTCCCTGGATGAGTCATGCAGGAACAGTGGGCAGGGTCAAGAGGGATGCATATAAAGGAGATTTTAATCAGTGCTGATGACATCCCAGTAGCTGAGGAGGCTGTGTATCTGTCTGACAGCAGGAGGGCAGGCAAGACCAGCTCCACTGCCGAGTGGAACAGTCCCATGCACACACAACACTCCCAGACTGACGCACTGAGACGCTCCTCTCGTCACAGCACGGAGCTCTGGAAGGAACCACTCTTCTTCTGCATCCCCAGACACCCTGTGGAGCCTCTTGGAGCCAGGCAGGGGTAGGGACAGTTCAGACAGAAGTGAGTTCTGCCCCAGGAGTCCTCAAATGCTTTTTCAGTCAGCCAGGAGGTGCTATACCCGTGACCCACTCCTAAAGGCTGTTTGGAAATGAACAGCATCGCAAGTCATGCAGACCCTGCAGAGCTGGAGTCCCTCCCATGTCAGCTGGCAACCCACAGCCAAGCCAGCCAGCCGGACGAGGGGAGTCGTAGAGAGGGATATTCCAGTTTCTAGGGCTCTTTGCCCCCAAATCATAACCCCAGTGCCAAGAACCCCAAAGGGGCTCCACGCTGCATTGCACAGACCAAGATGTACAACCAGACACTCCATCTGCAGCATCCACAACGGACATCCTCACGCCCAAAAACCATCCTCGGAGCACTTTACCTGTAAACCTGTCTTTATCTCAACCCACAAGTTTTCTCACTTTTACCCTTCCAATTCTCTTCCCCCAGGAGACCCGTACGCCAGGCCCTGAGGGGGATCTATCAGGCACTGCCGTCTGACTGAACTGTTCAGATGCTTTGCCTTGCCCACTGCACCCTTCCATGCTGATAACTGCACGACTGGCAGCAGCTGCCACACAGCTGCTGGCACGGAGCTGGTGCCACGGGGCCACGTGAGGACACGGCATGCTCAGCAGTCACAGTGCTGCACGCATCAGAGCAGGAATCCCAGGCAAGGCAGCAAAAATCCCAAGAGACATGGAGCAAGGTGCTCTCCACTGCCACAAGCTGCCCTCCGCGACGCTCTGCAGCACAGCTTTTGTGCCAGCTCCAGTTCTGCTCTTGGTCACTGTCACCCGCCTCCACGACCAGCTGCCCAGATCAGTTAAGGGGTATTTCTGTCCCTGGTGCACAAGGCAGGTCAGGGCCTCACCTCTGCGGGACAGCCGGGTGTCCGCATCCGTGTCCACGAAGAGCTTCATGCGGAAGAGGTCCCGCACCTCCTGGCTGTAGAAGGCCAGGATGCCTTCGAAGAGCACCACGTCGGCAGGGTACACGGTCACCGTCTCCTCTTTCCTAGCAGGGGGAAGAGAGTCAAAATATGCTGGTGGGGAGGGAAACCAAAGAGAGGAGGAGGGAGGGGGGGGGGGAACAGCGGTGCTCCTAGGCACTGCTCCAACCCTGGGACATCACTGCTGCACCAGGGAGTCGACCAAGGAGAGGGCAGACCTACCCCACCGTCGTGAAGGGAATCCAAGGCATACGTACGCTTCCTGGAAGGATAAAGGGCAGAGCAGGAAGCACACTAGCCCTTCTCCCCCCACCTCGGCCAGCTGCTGCTTCCAAGTGTTATGTGCCAAGCCATAAAGCCCAGGAAAGCCTATGCATGGGGCTTGACCCACAGGAACCTGCACGGCCAGCTCTGCTTCCCTTGGGAACCAGGCAGCGCTCCCCTGACAGCACAGCACTTTTGTGGGAAACAGAGCAGGGTCACACCATCCATGACCAGCACAGGCATGCAGAAACAAGCTGAAGAACACATGCAAGGGAAGTGTTACAGGAGCAAGAACTGCCATCTTCCTCCTTTCCTGGCACTGCTGAGCTGTTTGAGACTGGAATACTTGCTAAAGCTGCAAACAGTCTATGGGGAGAGGAAGTGTAGAAGGGGGGAAAAAAAGAGGGGAGTCTTAATCCCCTTCCACTGATGCCTTCATGTTGCTGGATGTCACTGCATTGGCTATGCAGCCTTCTAGACCCTCAGACTGTTCCTGTATCTGCCCTGGATCCTCTAACCAAGGGGCTGGAGTAGTTAGGACAGAAACTTTTGGCTGGCAGGTTAGGTGCCTAAGAGCAGGCGTGAGAGGGGCGGGCAGTTTGGGCTGGGTGCTGCACCACAGGGCGTTAGCGGAGGCACAGCGAGGCAAGGCAGGAGCAGCTGTTAGACCTGGAGTGGGAGACAAAGTCATAGACAGGAATCTGGACCGTCTTCCCTTCTGTGATCTCTTTGAGTGTTTTCACGATCAGCTCGTTGTCAAAAGCATCTGAGGAGAGAGGAAAGGTTACCCGAGGCAGCTTTGCAACCTCTCCCACCCACCAGATGCTGAGCTTAGCCCAGCCAGAGCCATTGGAACCCTGCACTGGGACAGACAGATGTACAGATTTGGGAGGAAAGCCCTGCACCTCCCCATGGGCGTAGCAAAGCCCAGCTCTCCCAGAGCCATGGGGCTTCATGGCTCTGCAGCAGCCTGGGATGTGGCCCACAGGGATCAATACCGCCCTTGTACAGCAGCACTGACAGCCTGGGTGCGGGAAGGCACCTCCTCCAGGGCTCCAGCCCTTGGAGAGACTGGAGCAGTGTTCCAGCCTGGAGCCCCTGGACAGACAGGGCTCTGTTTGCTCAGTGCTCACTGCCTCTGGCCATTGTGCTCATGGGGACGAAGGGACAGCGGTTCTGGAATTTCCCCACCAGGCCCAGAGATGGTTCAAAGAGCCCCTGTTGTAGTGACAGGGCACAACCCCCTCGGTGGAGGGGTTTGCAGAGCAGCTGCACAGACGGTTCCCTCCTTGAAGGAGGGACATGGAGCTGCTGGCTCCAGGGGTCTGTGCCAGGCCAGATCCTCCTGTGTCCGATCCAGCTGCACCAAAAACCAATTTGTTCCTTTGCAACCTGGTCTAGTGAAGGGTGTCCCTGCCCATGGCAGATGTCTAATGAGGTTTAATGTCTCAACACAAACTATTTGATGATTCTACGACAAAGGTGTTCAAACTGGGGGACATTTTTGCAGGAAGAGGAGCATCTAAAGAAGCGTTTGCAGGTTCACAACCTGCTCTTTCTCATCCCAGACACTCCATCCCCGAGGCAGTTTCTTTCTCAAGACACGTAGGCTGTACTGCAGGGGACAGAGGTGGCCAACTAGCCACCCAGTCCTGCCCCATGCAGAGACAGAGCCCCAGTGTCCATGCAGGCTCTTTGCTGGTAGAACTGGGGGGTCCCACTCCAGCCCTTGCCCCACACCATGTGGCAGAGCCCCAGCACTGTTTTCCATTCACCTGGGTGGTCAAAATTGAACTGGCCTTTGAGTGCTTTGGATTTCTGCTCCGAGGTGAGAACCCGGTAGAAGCTGTCCTGGCTCACAATCACCACCTGCTTCTGGCGGTAGTCCACCTCGTTCTGGCCCAGCAGCTGGACGATTTTGGAGCATACTGAAGACTGGGAAAGGAACGGCAAAGGAAGCAAGTCAATGGCAAGTGGTATCTAAGCGGCACAGGGCTAACGTCTAGGTAACATTCCCTCCTGGGTGCATGGAGCACTGCTTGCTGGACCTCCAGCTGAGAGTTTGTGGTCAGCATAGCCTTTGAAGGCACAGACCAAAGCTACTGAGGGAAAAGTGCTCCAGAAGCATCGCTGTGGCGCCTTTTAGTGTGACAGCAACACCAAGCTTGCTGCCTGCCTCCTTCTCCTCCGCCCCTATGGCCTGCCCACAGTTCCTGTTCTGGGTACAAGGCGGCAGCAGGAAAACAGTTGGCTCCTGAATGGGTTCAGCCACGTGCCCAGGGGACCCATCTGCTCCAGCCTGCCAGGCAGCTCCCCAGGGAGCAGAGCTGTGGGGCACCAGGGCTGAGCCTCCTCCCTGGGAGGAGTCCAGTGCCTTGGCTCCTCCAGCCCTGATCCAGCCCAAAAATCCCACCACAGCACGGTGTCCTCAGAGGGAGAGCCAACAAAACCCGGGATGAAAAGACACCAGGAAGAGAGCCCTGGGACTTTATCAGGGATGCCTGCTGCCAGGGCTGGGAGGAGCAGCCACGAGCATATCCTGGTGCCTCCTGGCACAGCAAGCCTAAAGGCACTGCAGAGTCAGCGGCTGGAGAGCCACGTGGCTCTGGCTGCCGGTACAAGATCCCCAAAGTGCTGCTGGAACAGGGACTGGCACCTCTCACACCACACGGAGCAGGCTGGGCGCGGGTGGCCAGCATGGACTGCTGGCACTGCAGGAGGCAGGGTCACGTTGGACCCTGCCATTGCAACACGACTCAGAGCTTGGGGGACAAATCTCAAAGCCTGCTTCAGTCCCTTCTCCTTAGTCACAGGAGTCCTTGGCCGCTGTGTAAGGCAGTGATGTTAACTGCATCACCACCTGGCAGCCAGCACTGCCCCGGCCAGCACGAGCCAAGGTCAGGCTGCCTGGGGAATGCTCTGCTGCCTGCAGGAGCCCTGCATGTCCCGCCTGCTCCTGCCCCACGGCATCCATTGTTCAGGACAAAGTGGGTGCTCCTGGCGCCAAACTGAGCTCCTTCACCTCATGGGAATCATGCTGGCTGCAGATGCCCAGCTGAGTGCTCCTGGCCCCAGTCACCACAAACACTCTGCTGAGCCCTCTGCCTTACAAAGAGCGGTTTGCTTGCCCCAACCTGCCTACCCTGGCCTGCCAGTGGCTTTTTCCACGCTCCCACCTCCTGGCTGGTTCAACCATCTGCTCCGTACCTGGCTGGAAACCTCCAGCTGCAGAGCTGAAGACAGTGCTGGTGAGAAGGAACAGGGAGGGGAATGTATGCCTGGCAAAGGAGGTCACCCCAGCAGGCAGAGGGCAAGGCTGTTTGCCTGAGAAGCTGGAAGATTTGACGGCATTCCCATCTCCAGAGACTGTCTCTTCCCCTCCAGGCCAGGCTGACCTGACTTGGCTGTGACCGCTGGGCTGTGAGTCAGCCCCAGCCCAGCTGGGGAGCCTCCACACAGCTCTGCTGCGGAGTGAACTGGCTCAGGCTGCCCTACAGCAGCCCGGGCAGTCTGGGGCACAACTCTGCATTTCAGGTCAGGGATGTGGTCTCCCTGTGAGCATCCCACCTTCTCCTCCTGCTTCTCATAGCTGGCTAGCTGTGCTTCCCAAGCCACGCTGGCAGCCCTGCCCTGCAGCAAGCTGCTACCGCCCAGAAAAAAGCCCTGCTAGTCAGTGCCAGTCACCTGCCCTTTGGCACGCGCAAGCACAAAGCCGGAGCCTGCTCTCTTGTTTCCTCTATTTGCTCGCTCCCCACATCCTTCTGCAGCCTGTGTCAGCCCCAGTGCTTATCCAGCTGTATCCCGTAGGTTTCGCAAAACCAGGGCGTGCACAGTGCCTCTCCTCCGCTTTTCCTGCCTGCTCTCTCTCTCTCTGACACCGCTGCCTTCCCATGCGGCGAAGAGACGTAGCACGGCAGGGTTCAGCCGTGGCCACAGCTGCTGAGGACAACCAAACTTCCCAGGCCCTTTGCCATTAGGAGTGAACCACCTTTCAGCACAGCCACACAGATTCCCAGTCTGCTCCACATGGATCTGCACCAGGAACCGCTTTCCCCAGCCCAGGGCTTCTTTACTTTGGATCAGTGAAAGTAACACGCCAACTGCGCTCACTCTCTCCCCTTGGACCTCGACACATGGATGGGCAATAAAATCATTTGAGAGCACCAGAGAGTTCCTGCCAGTCTTTTTTTTTGCCTTATGCACGCTAAAATCTCTGGACTGCTGATCCTGGAAGGTGGAGAAGAGTCTCCACCAGCTCTGAAAATCGCCCTTCTGTTCCATGCCCTGCAACTCAAGACACACAATGGCAAGAAAAACCCAAGGAGAAAACATCCCCCGGCAGCTGGAGACTGGAACACATATTTCCTTGGGCTTCTAGGATGAGCATCAGAGCATATCCCAGCTGCATTTGTCATCAGGGCTCTGGGGTGGACATTGGCTCTTGCAGAAAGCATCTAGGCAGATGCTAGAGACTCCTCCCTCTTCCACGGTGGGCTCTGGAGAGCTGGCAGGAGTGATGGAGAAAGATGACCATGAGGATACCCTGCTCTCAGGACCAAGCTCAGGTTCAGCACACCACACTGCCTGGGTGAGCAAGGATGTCACCTGTGGGCTCTGGGAAGAGGCACACATATTACCTTGGTCCTGCAGGTGCGGGCCACGGCACTGCTCACACACTAAACCTGCATTAAGTGCAGCAGGACAGAGGGACATTGGGGGACAGTGAATGTTCCTCCAACCCCAGGGCTGCATTCAGCTTGCCTTAGTGGGGCAGCAAACCTCATCAAGGTCCAAGTGAAGCTTTTTCCTTTCCTCACTATCATTTGTGATGGAAGCAATGGTTCACAAGGGGCATTCCCTGATGCCAGCTGAATACCTCCTACAGCTGGACAGGCACTTTTTTCCCCTTGGCTGATAAACACCCTCTGTGAAGGAGGAAGAAAAACCAGAAACACAGAGCTTGGAAATTCCCCGACACGATGGGAACAGAAACTCCTGGCCTCGGGAAGTGTCCCCCCAAATGACTGGCATGTCCCCTGCTTAAACCCTCTTCTCCCACACCAGCACAGCATACATACACAACTGTGAAATATTCACTAATAATTAGAAATGGCCACAGCCAGGCGCTGGGGAGGCTGGCAGGTGCCCAGAAAGACCAAGACTGGAGCGTGACTCCAAAATACCATGCCAGGATGCAAACAGCCAGGATGCAGGGTAACCCAGGGGACATGTGATGCTGGCATGTGCACTCAGCACGCACTTGAAGGGACAACCTGGGCTCAGATTCCTTCCTTTACAGATTCTTTGTGCCTTCTCCCAGGAAAGAAGACAACTATTATTTCTTCTCTGAGAAGCCCAGGACTGCAGGAGATGACTTGAGGAAGATGACATAATGCTACAGATGAATCCCAGCAAAGAAAAACTCTAGGATTTGAGCCCCATCCCTACCTCTGCCCTACATGACACATCTCATCTGCAGAAGAGAAGAGCCATGCCAAGGCTCCTTCCTTCCACTCAGCCCCTTCTCCATATCCACATAATCCATGCACACCTCGCCACGACCCAAGACGAACACTGACAATGATTCAGCCACAGTGCACTCCTGGCAACAGGATGCTTTCTCAAGCAAAAGCCTTCCCCTCCTCCAGAACCTGGTTAAAAACTAAATATAGCCAGGACCCAGCAGCCTCCATGGTTGCCAAGCAGACCTTTCCCGTGTTAGCCACACGAAACCAACGCAGGACTTTCCAAGCACGCAGGCAGGGAGCGAGCCCCAGCCCCTGCCATCGGTCACGACTTCCCACACGCTGCACCGAGGGGAACTCAGCTCCTGCTTTGAGCAAACTGGCTGCAACCCCCAGAGCTGCACTCCCCCAGGCTTTGTGCTCAAGCTGCTCCCTGGGAAAGCTGTGCCAACCAGCCCACACCACACACAGACGGTGGGGAGGGAGGTATCCGCACAGCACAAGCGGCAAGCTCGGAGAGGTTATTCCTGAACAGAAGCAGCTGCAGCTCCCCTTGCAGGACTCCTCCTCTGAACCAAGCACACAAATAGCCAGTGTTCAAAGAAGAAGCATAGCTTTATTCTGCTGGGAGGGAAGATGCAGAGCGCACCTGGGGGAGAAATCCAGCATATTTTCCCAGAAGGAGAGAGGTGGTGCACAGGGGAAGAAACTCAGACGGGTGTTCAGAGGCCTATCCCTGACATTTATGTGGAATATATTAATCACCTATTTAATTCATGGCCTACAGCCAGCTGCTCAGATATTCTTCAGGAGTTGACTAATTCCCCAACATTATTATGCAGATTATCCCACAATCCCTCTTGGGTAGCTCTGATCAGGGAGTGAATTATGACTTCAGATGGGTACTGCCACAGTCAGCCACCATGAACCACTGTGTGAAGGTGCCAGTCAGGACACAGCTGATGCCTTCTGCTCCAGGTTTGCTGCAGCAGCCAGGGGAATATAGGTCAGGGCTAGCAGGAACTCCTAACCTTTGTGTAGGTGGATATGATAAAACCTACTCACTGAGAGCAGACTGTCCATCCCCAGGGAGCCTGGCACTGCAGAGAGGTGTCCAAGCTCCCACTACAGCTGCAGGAAGGACCTCCCATCCTCCCAGGGACTCTAGATGAGATACCCAGCACAAGTGCCTTACCCAGATCAAGTCATTCCAGCCCTAAAGAAATACTGAAGCTGCCAGACCTCTCAGGAGCACGTGAAGAAGGCCTGTGCAAGAAGCAAGACCTACCAGAAGAGGTGTGTGCTGGGCTCCAGTGTGCAAGGAGAGGCACAGCCTCCTGCCACCACCGCAGGCTGCTTGCCCTGAGCCAAGCTGCTGCTCATGAGGACAGTCCTCCTCAGCGGAGCAATGCCCTTGGCCCACGACAAACGTTACAGCCAGGAGCAAGGACAGACTGCAGCAGTCACATC